GGCGAGCGCCCGGGTCTGCGGTTATGGGTCCAGAGGCATCTAAGACATGGTTCAGAGACAGACTCGTGCTCTGCTGGCTGTTAACGCTGTACTAACCTTCATGTCTTGTTCGGCCTTCAGCGCAGCCTGGGCCTGATTACCTCTGACTCCAGAGAGTGGCCCACAAGGACCCCTGGCTACATGTGGCAAACGAGCATGGCTCATGAGGCCTGTGGTCAGCGGAGGAGGCATCTGACTGGCCAGCGCCACTGGTGGCCTCTGAACAGGCGCTGGGAAGGTGTTAGTATGTGGGGCTCTTACCAATGGAGGGACCAGGTTAGGCTGAGAGAGAATCTGAGTGAAAAAAACAAAACATACAACATCGAACTGTTAAAAAAAGCACCAGGCTGGCTTATCCCAGAGTACACCTGTGCCCACAGTGCCAGGGAGAGGTGTGGGTCTGGGCCACCCCGCTATAGGGGCCAAGCATAGACAGGCCTGGAGAGCTGACAAAGATTAGGCAGAGTGAGCTATGCCACTGAGGGGGGTTCTAGCATTCCAGCTATAAGCTCTGAAGGGGGGATGGGAACACTATTCATCAGGATGTCTTTTAAAAATAATATAGTTGCAGAAAAGGCACATGCCTATACCAAACACGATCCGAACAGTACTAATTCAACAAACACGTGTTTTCTCAGGAACCACTTCTCGTTTGTGAGTTATCAGTTTTATTAGTCCTTCCATATCATTAGCAAAGGGAAGGGAAGCCAATATTTTTACATGTGTATCAGAACATCCTTCGGACAGTTTAACCTCAATGACAAATAGTTATCTGAAAAAAACAAAAACAAAACAAAACAAAAAAAACCACTTAAAACCTAGAAAACATTAAGCACTGGGACCCTTCTCTGAAAAGTCAACTTCTTAAAAAAGATAAACAGGACAGAAATCATCAGAGCTGTGTGGGGAATCTTCTATTTTTACTGTCTGCTTTAGAACTAGTTACTACCTGCATCTAGCCAAAAATGGCAGAGAATCTATCTCAGTGTCATAAATCTGAGAAACTCTCTCCCTGGAACCTGCCTCTACGCTGGTCACCACACGGCAGATCACAGAACCCGAGCCCAGGCCGGACGAGCCGTCAGTCTGCAAGCAGGTCACGTCACTTCCCACTTGGGCTGCCCACCTGGGGTGCAAACTGTGTAGGAAAAGGCTGTGCCATCCTCACAGGGGCAGGGGCTGGCTGGAACTGCTTCTGATAGACAACGCTGTTCATTTTGCTGGACTGGCTGCTCGGACTTGTGGAAGAAGCCCTTGGAGAGAAGCCATCAGGTCAGTACAGTGCTGCTAGGTCTCTAGAGGCGCTGCTCTAGGGAGCCGCGCCAGACGTGGTGCCCGATGAGAACCTACCATGGTGGGTTACCAAACACGACAGTGGTGGACAGACATTGCAGGGGCAGAGGTGAAAGAGTACTAGCTAGGTCTGCCCTGTATTAAAAAAAAATGTTCTTAAAGTACAGTGTAACGAATACAGTAGGTTAGCATTTCAAATAGAACTGTCAGAGCGCCTTGTGCCTTCACCGCAGGACCGGTGACACGTCACCTATCTATCGAATGGTGCTCGGCCACTGGGAAATTCTACAGGCAAGTGTGAATGTCTGCTTTACCGGAAGGGACTGGACGTGGGTGTGGCGCTTCTGCCACTGATGGGAGGCGTGCCTGGTTTTATATCAATGCCACTTCCAAAGGCCTTTAGCTCCATTTCAGACATCTGAGGAAGAGCATAAAATAAACGTTAACATTCCCACAATTCTGGAAGTTAAATGCTGCCTGAGATCTGCATGGGCATTGTAGAAAGGACCTCTTTAGAAGTTTACTGTTCTATATATGAAGACAGTCTAGAAAAGGGCAAACAAACTCAGTATAAATATACTATAATTAGTTTTCAAATACCGTGGAATTATCAAGGACCAACTTGTGGCCAAAGAAGTATGAAAATGTAAAATCCAATTCTTCCACAGAATTTATGAGTTCTCAGTTATTAGGTAAAAAAAACAGAGGGCAACAAACATATTTAAAAAGTAGATGAAGAGTGTACTGAAGCTGAGGTTTCCTGGAGGTAAACTGATGCCCTGTATTTCTGCAGACTACACAGATGCATAATCACATACGGGGCCTCCAGCGCTCGGAGCAACGGTGCCCGCCTCGCCCGCTTACTTTCCCGGCGGCTGTGACCATGCCGTGTGGCGTCCCGGGGGCAATCAGTCCTCTGAAGGGCTGGCTCACTTGGGCAGGACGGCCCAGGCTCTGGGCCTGGGCCTGTGGGGCGGCGTGCTGCAATGGGGGCTGCAGAGTCTGAGGCAGGGCGATTAAGGGCTGCCCCGTGGATCCAAAATTAGGCAAGGAAAGCTGGGATGCCGGCAAAGGAACTGTAACCTGGAAGTGAGCAGAAGGAGGCTGCAGCACGTACACCCATCCGTTTGTGCAAATCCCCATAACCACAGAGCTCTTCAAACACTTCTAAGACTCTAAATGGAGTACATCAATCTACTAATGCATTTCACACATACAGCTTCTGCCCAGTGACTACCCCCATTCTGTTTTTAAAGGTGCAGTAAGATTAGCAGTGGAGAAACTGTAACTGATATCACTGTGGCTATCTTTGAATTAATACACAGTATATATCAAGTGACTATAAATAAAATACAACAAAATGGACATACAAAGTCAGAAAGTAGCCACAACTTTTCAAATAGACAAGGTCATATCTTTATGAATTGTCACCACCTAAAAGAGCCACTGAAGATAGTTGAGAAAATGACTAATGGCTCACCTCTCTCCTCCAGCCCACCAGCTTCCAGTTAGCTGATTAATGACACTGGTAGCGGAGTTGGCCTCTGTAGGAACCATATCTGTCACTGACAGCTACCTTCATGCTCACACACTCAAGAGACGTGCCTCCTTCTCGGCTGCACCATCCCACCTGTCTGCTGGCCGGGGTGGTGGCCCGCAGTCCTCCGCAGCTTCTACCTCGCTTATGAGCACTACGCATCCCAGACAAGGGCTTACAACTTACATTCATGGAGTCCTTGTAAAGTGATCCATTATACGGAAACCCATCCAGAACAAAAAGAGGTGAAGACCAGAACTGACTCAAGCCCGCTGCCAGCACACGCCTGGTGCCCCAAGGGCAGCTCGGAGAGTGTGAGCGCCACCGCACCATGTCTCATTTAAGCTACCCGACAACAGAAGCCCTAACAATGCGACGCAGTGCCAGTAAGATTTGAGGAGGTCTATGCGCCACGGTCTACCTGCTGGAGGGCACTCGGCGACTGCGCGGCGCTGTAGAAGCTCGTCTGGCCAGGCTGCTGCACTTGTCCAGAATAAAGGTTTGAAGCCTGTGTAAGGTTCGCTCTGGCCTACAAGAGATTTTCAAGAGAAGAGCAACAAGAATAAAAAGTTTCCAACTCAGCTTACGGCTGTCATTTGCAAACCATCTCTAAACGTTTTAGTACTGGGTAGGAAGGAAGACCTTGGTCTTCATGCTATCCTTCAACATCTTTTCTTTAAACACTCTTTCTCGAACTACTGCACAGGAATATGACAGCAGGGCATGATCCTACCCTTACCTGGAGAAGGTGTGTATCCATCAGCTGGGAACCCCCGAGTCCGGATGCCTGGCCCAGCTGGTGTTCATACAATATGGGAATAGGCTGAGTGCTTGACGTCTGCTGAAAGGCAAGGCCCGACTGTGCCTTGGCCAGCTCCTGGTGTTGGACAGCTGGGAAGTTGTGGATGGCAGTGCCAGAAAGGACCACGGACGGCTGGGACAGACTGTTCTGCATGAAGGCCGCCTGAGATCTGTGTGGGCATTGGAGAAAGGACCTGTTTAGAAGTTAATTATCCCTGGAATCTGGAAATCTTGGGAATGAGTAACCCGAATGACCATGTGCCCTAATGAGTGCAGGTGAGAAGCGGAGAACAGACTGCGTCTAAGGCACCTATGTTAAGACTTGGAGCCCCACATCCAGTGAAGCCCCACAAGGAAACCCCAGACGGCTTGCTCTTTGTGAGAAGCTGCAGAGATGTGTCCCCTGAACAACGAGAATGATTTCTTTTCACGTGTCCACCTGGCAGCTGAGAACCAGGTCTGTGCTCTCCTGGGCATCGGTGTTCCACCCAGACTCAGGGACCCACAGCTCTGACTCGTGATCCACAGCTCACTGGCTCCCCTCCTCTATTCACTTCCAGTGAGAGGCTCCACAGAATGAAGCAGAGCAGCAGCTCACACCGGGGTCACCCACCGATTTTTTGTTTTACTGAGGTGTCATGGACACATAACGTTGTATTACTCTCAGGTGTACAACACAATGAGGCTCATTTGTGTTTTTGTATTTATGTGTATTGTGAAATGATCACCACAATGAGCCTACTTAACACCCATCAACACACATGGGCACAAACCTTTTCTCTTCTGATGAGAACTTTTAAAATCTACTCTCTCAGCAACTTTCAAATACGCAATACAGCATTATGGTCAAAGGGCAAAAACTCCAGGTACGAAGCCAGCCACAGAGAAGTCACGTGCAGTGTGGCGACTAGTTTGTGACACTGCTGCATATGCGAAAGGTTTCTTTTAAAGAATAAAATGCTAGAATCTAACCTCACACTGCCCTATTACCTCTGGGATAGAGGCTTCCCATCTATACTTTAAAAATTGCTCAGATAAAGAATAAGTAACTAAATCAAAGTAGTGCATTAGAGTATTACCAATAAACAACATTATATTTTGATAAAACTAACGTATGTGGTAGGAATGCTAGTCTGGGGTCACAAGTAATCTTCACAATGTCTGCTTATAACCCATGCTTCAAATACAGCACGAGAACACACAACATTGCTGTCATGAACTAACCTGTGTGACGTATCAACTCGGGGCTCCCTCCCAGCAGTGACACTGGGCTGGGGGTGCTGAGAGCAGGGAGGGCATGCACATCTGCTTCCAAAGCCTGACCCCATGCCTCTCAGCAGCAAGGCAGGCACCAGCGACACCCCAGACGGCGTACACATCATTCCTGCTGCCCTGCTCTGGCCCTAAAGAGCACATTTTCCAAGGCTCCAATGCAGTTGTTTGAAGGGGGACCACGAATACAGGGGAGCCATGCACTGCCTCTCCACCCATTGGCTATGGGGGGCTTGACCAAATAATCACTGAACTTCACAGAGCCTGAAAGTAGCTATGAAAGACTGCCTCTGATTTCTACTTGAAGCAGTTTTACTTGTACTGGGAGAGAACTTGTTGGAATAATCAAACTACATGACAGTAATACCACAAAATAAAACATACTATAGAACTAACTATACAGATGTACTAAATCTCACTGAAAAATCTTTAGTCAAACATGAAAGTGAGAGCCACATTAAGTATATTAGTAATTCTGCTCTGTCGAGGTTTAATTAGTTGAACTTGGCTTCTTTTGGAGTATTAATTTATGTCAAAGAAATGAGCTTTAGCATTTTGAGGCCAAGTTTAATCTATAAAGTATGGAAATTCTAACTGAACTACTTTGAAGATGTATTTCTAAAAGCAAACACGTCACCTTTGCATCCTTAAACTAAACGTACTGAAAGTAAACCTTTCCTTTCTGACAGCTAAGGGCCATCACCACGCACACTGGAGGCCAGCCTCGCCACGAAGACACGACGCAACCGCGCACGCTCACACCCCCGCTCCACTGTCATGCCTGCCTCTGCCCTGCAGGTGGAGATGCTTGACACCGGAGGCTGACCCAGGCTCTGCCACTGTTCAGTGTGACATCTGTAAACACTCCTCTTCAAGGCCCAAATATGCATGTCAAATAGGAGTGATTCAACTTACCTTAAATCTTTTAGGTTTTGTGAATCCTAAGTAAGCTAGGGTTAATCTATGTAAAGAGCTGTCATAAAAAAGGTAAGTTCAATGAACACCAGTTTTTGTTGCTTCCTTGACTACAAAGGTAACTCACAGCTGACCTTTCAGCAGGAACACCGCCCCCTGCGCTACATGGTGTGCCTGTTGCCGCACCGCCGCCGCCTCCCCTCATCTGTGGCTCTGTGCCCCACTCCCACTGCAGCCCGCCGGGGCCTCAGCCCCTCGCATACTGCTGTCATCTGCCAATCTTCAGCCTGGAAGGAGCAGGCCTGGATTCACAGCTGTTGGCAGGGAAATGGCAGTTTTGGGTCCTTTTGTAGTTGTTTTCTGCGATTTCTAATTGTTAGGGAATTGTTACCCTCCGCAAGAAGCTTTGAGGCTTGACTTGGTCAGTGTAATCTGACAAATCACCAGAGGCCGCGGTTCAGGACAGAACCAGCATGCTCAGTTATTTAATGTAGTTTGTAACAGGGTCGCCCTAGCTTTTGGGGGCAAAGAAACAGCAGCTGGGCTGGCAAGAAGGCCCAGCAATTACGCTGTTTCCAACATGGGAAATGTCATTTTGAAGCCTTTACCTGTACGGCTGAAGTGAAGAACTGAACAGCTCCTGAGCCTGGGAGACAGCAGGCCCAGCACCCAGACCCAGCGGGCCTTGGTGCTGGCCTTGCAGTGGCGCATAGATAGGGATCGGGATCTGCTGAACTGAAGCCGGCTACAAGGCAACAAGAAACATCACCAGAACAGCACCTACACAAATCCCAACAACACCGGTGCGAACCGGAAACTTGTACGAAAATAAAAAACCAATGCCACATATCAGCTCCCTTTAAAAACAAAACCAAATGTAAACATCTAAGGTGTTCCTTGCAACCCATTATTTATTCTACATTGTTAACCATTAAAGGTTTGCAAATTGGGCAAAGTTTTGTAATTTTACTCATACATACCAGGATAATCATGTGTTGTCCCATGTTGGTAACAGACTACAACTTCAAAGAGTCTATTATTTGTAGCCCAAGATAACTATTACATTATAAAAATGCCAAGAAACAAATACGAGATGGAAGAGACCTGATTTTTACCTGAGAAAGACCTGGTTGGAAGCCTTGCTGTGGGGCCAAGCGTGCGTGCTGGGTGCTGAATAAGTGGCTTGTGTCCATGTAGAACGCTGGGATCTGAGCTACAGACCGTCAGAAAAAGCAAGCAGTAACATGGGTCAGAAATAACTAAAAACAAAGTTTTCTAGCAGATTTCAAATCGAGTGAGCCCTATGCAAATTAATACAAACCAAGGAAAAACGAGAAACATGCAGAGATCTAAAACCTCTGGAAGGCACATGCAAGTTAAAACGAGAACTCGAGTACTTGAGAAGGTATGGAAAGACACTGCCTATACTGCCCATGAGGTATGAATCAGTAGGATTTACACCATCTCCTAAAACTGAAAATGAACTTACCCGTTCACCAGCAAATTTCAAATCTACTACTAGAATTTAGCAAAATGTTTTAGAAGAACTTACATTTAGTAACTGAAAGAATCTGGTAAAGATTCTTAACAGATTTCTTTGGTGTGTATAATACATACCACTGTGTGATCTGCTGTTTTCATGTAAGAGCTTATTAGCAATACCCATGATCCTACAGATACTGGGTATTATCGACCTTTCCAACATGGAAAGGCAAGAACAAACCTCACTGTTCTTCTATTCTGAATACACATCATTAGAGTCTGAATGTTTTCAAATGTTTACTTACTCACTATTTAACTCAGGTCAGCACTTTGACATTCAGTAGGTCAACCTACCCCGGCCCCGATGTATAATTCTCTTCTCTTTTGCTAGTCTTAGGTTTATTCTTCCCCCTGAACTTTACTATCTATTTTTCAAGTTTTAGATAACAAACTTTCATGACTTGCTGGAATAACGTCAAATGCATGTGACTTCACAGATTAGACGCTAATCTCGTATATATGTAACATATATGTAAGAAACAACTGTCAAGGGCCCCAGAATACCTATTATCAAGGAGAGACAGCAATCAACTTTATGAGGAAACAAATTTGCAAAGCAGATCAAAAAACATTTCAATTTGAAAGGGTAATGAAGAGAAGAAAAAAATGAGCATTTCACAAAATTCTTATTTTCTAAACTCCTTACATTTAGCATTGACAGTCTTACCTGCTGCAGACTGAGACACATAGACCTGTGGGCTCTGCTGCTGTGCAATCAGAGAAGGCATGCAGCCCAGCTGGGAGAAGTGACTTGCAGAAGGAAGGCTGCCTGTCTGGAGCTGTTGGGGTTTGACTTTACAAATATTAGGAGGGTCTGATGTGGTTGTGGATTTTGTACTCAAAGAGGAGGTAGTGTATGTACCAGTACCTGTATTTGTCAGAGGGATAAAATAAGAGGAAAATGTAGTACATTTTTAAGTGCCACTGCTGTTTGCAGTAAAGTAACACAAGCGTCAACCACAAACCAGAAAATTACCGTTCATGCTATGTGCCTACCATGTACTTATTACATATATACTGCACCTCAGGACCAAAGTGGGTATGAGGTGGCTTATAAAAGGAGGGAGCACATTACTAAATGCAAATAAGTTTATAAAATCTGGAGAAACACAAACAATAGAAAATTAAAACAAGGAGGAAATTAAATAGTAAAATACAAGATCACAGGAGGACAGAGCACGGCACCTTGAGGATTATAAATGTAAGTAGGAGGTGAATTAAAAGGTGAATTTTAGAGAAAAGTTTAGAACAACATAGAGAATCACCAGTTACTTATTAGCATCTGTAATGGGGACTGGGGGAGCGCGTGTGGGGAGAAGAGATGGTCCAGGAGAGTGTGTTGTTAGAACAGAACTGTCAGTATCTGCCAAGCTACACAAAACCAGGAGAGGATGAAGCGGGGGTAAGAATGGCCGCAAGTGCACAAACCTGCATATAAACGATCTTACGTGCATCTTCATCTTTTATAAATGCTAGCAGTCAACAGGAAAAGGTCCTAAGAAATTTTAAAGCACTTCAGGAGGGAGGTACAGAGAGCAACTACCTGACAGTGACGTGGTGGGAGTGACGGAAGCAACCGGGATCTGAGGCACAGAAGCGCTGGCGAACGAGCTGTAACTGGTGTTGGGGCCGCTGGCGTTACTGCTGACGCCACTTGCAATCGGAGGTGCTGTGGAAGTTACCGGGGAGCCCTTTTCTCTCACATTTGGAGAATTTTCCCACGCCTTACGTGCAGACTCCATCTGCAATAAAATGGAATTTTTTAAAGCGAAAAAAAAAATCACTCTGCTAACACAGAATAATATGCATATACACATATGTATGTGTGTGTATATACATATATCTGTATTTAAATTCCAAATATAATCTTTAAAAAACCACAAAAGTAAAAGAGTAAGACCACGCGGGGCTTTCAAACCTTTCACTTTCCCCTTTATCTCTGCCCTGCATCAAACTGTGAGGCACCGGGCTTTACTCACGCCTCTACAGTGAGCTTGCAGACCGCCTGCCTGGCAAGCCAGTCAGATTAATGCCATCAGACTCTGTGTCGGCTCAACACAAACCTCCACCCCTGGCTGTACGTATGGAAAGGGAAGAAATCCCACGTCCCGTGAAGACAGACACAGGTTCTGACTCCGGCTGGAAAGGTACTACTTGCCCCTGGAAATAGCCATCCTGCTCATTCTTCCTAAGCTAACAGCTCTCAAACGGCAGACGACGGGACCTTCTGTTTGGTTGCTTTGATGCTCAGTGTTTTAAAAGGCAGTAACCACAGAGGTTTTAGGCTTGGGTGTAACAGAAACACGTCTCATACCCAGGACCTCATTAAGCCTTTCTGGTACTAACTGCCACCATTTGTATTTGTGGCTACTGGTTTTTAGCTACAGGCTCCTACTTCTTAAAAGGTAGAAACAGATATCATATCAATCTATCTAGAGCAGTGCTATCAAAAGACATACAAACGCAAGCCACATGTATGGTTTTAAATTTTCTAGCAGTAGTCACATTTTAAAAAATAAAAACAAAGAGGCAATACCAATTATGATAACATTTTATTCAACCCAATATAACTACAATGTAATTAAAACCTACAATCAACATAAAAAGAGATGTTTTAATTCTCAAAAATTACTCTATTTCAGATCCACTATGTTTTGTTTTACACTTATACCACATACTTCAACTTGGATTAGCCACACTTAAGTGCTCCATGACTGCAGTGGCCAGTGGGCACTGAACACGGAGCACAGACACACACCAGGTGTGTCCATCCTACTTGATCTGGGCGGACAGACACATGGATTCTGAAGTTCTTAGTTCTACTAGTCAAAATACTGGGGCAAGATAACCTAAAAAATACAGCTGAAACAAGACTTTAATACCATTTCTGGGAAGTCTGTAGGTCTTGGAAGTAACAACTTTTAAAACGTTAACCTTAGTTGTAAGAATTTGAGAAATATTATATATTTCTCTGCTTTCCTGTTAAAACACATACTATATATAATTTAACGTTTTCTTAATGACTAGTATCATCATTGTAAGTTCAAAATATAGGTCACTTTCCTCACAATCACCTTGCCTATTTCAAAGGTTTTTTATTTTAAAACAAGTCTTGGAGAGCTGAAAAAAAAAAACTTAGAAAGACAAAATGCAGTTTGCTTCTAATACCTGTGGCTTTACAGTTCAGAGCAATTTTTATACAGTACAAAGTCTATTACACTGGTTGTCATGTTGGGAACATAAATTATAACTAATCAAACTTGTATAATATGTAGGCCATACATTTGGCTTCATTTGGCTTCTTAAACAGCAAGAAAATTTAGACTTTACTTTTTTGGAAATTCAAGGAAACTAACAAGTACAATTATTTAACCATACTCATTTCTCCCCTTGGTAAATATACTGTCAATAATATCCAGGCAGAACTTCTTTCTATACTTCATATTACCCAAAGAAAGAGAAATGTTGGAGAAGTATAAATAAGCCAAAGTTTTAAGCTTATACAATTAAATTTAAATTCATTTTAATTATAAATGTATGTTATTTTTTTTTGGAGTGTTGGAAACATTGAGCAAAAAGGCAATGTTGAATGGGCTTTCTGAAGAATTAACAACTGGCCTAAAGAATCAATGATGACACATATGCTTATATAAAATCAAGACTCCTTCCTTGAGCAGCACAATGCTAAGATCCACATGTAAGACACAGTACAACACACAGTGAGGGAGCCGTTCACGCAAGAACGGCAGCCACGGCTGCACAAGAACTGGCAGTGCCGACGCGGTGACGCCAGCAGAGGTGGTCTGCTGCAATACTGCGTCGTCTCAGAGTCACTGCAAAGCAGCTGGGGGGCAGGGGGGAGAAGTGGTCAGGAAGCCAGAGACCCAGAAAGACACACGCTGGCCGCGTAACAGAATCGACTCAGTCTGTCCCTCTCCTGAGGGCCCCCAGGGAGACCTACTCACCACCCACTGTGGCGCCTGGAGTGACAGGGGCTCCACACCTGCCCAGATCACAGATTACAACTGAGCAGGTGGCACCAAGGAGATAAAAGCTCGTAAAAAAAAAAAAATCCAATTCCATCCAATTCCATGTCTGCACTTTTTTTAACCACTGACTAATCTTGAGGTGAACTGATTTAAAATACTCACAAATAAAATTCAATTGCAGAAACACAATAGAACATAGTTCAAATTTAGAAACTGGAGATTTAAAAAAAATTCCTGAACTTCTTGACATCAAGAAGTCTATGTCGTCTAAAATTAAAATCTTTTGCCTTATTCAAAAAATCATCCAAAAATCAAATCAAAATCAATTACCTCTGTATAAAATAAACATTCTAATTACCACATTATCTTCTTTCAATTTACACGATTTATAGTTAAGACAGAAAATTAGCATTTTTACCATTATTAGTACTTAGGATAAAAAACACACAATACCAAGCTAGTTTGTTTTCTCTGTATACAACTAATATATTCAAATTATTAAGACCTCTAACTGGACATCAGTACACATATGGAACGTAAATGCTCTCCTGTGCGTTTAAAACAAAACTCACAGGTATGACAGCCTCACATTAAATATAAGGGTTCAGGTCACTGCTAACTGGCACCAGAGCACGTGAAACGTTCAGGTGACTGGGCATCGTCCCACTTGCCCAGTCTTGCCCTGCTGCTCCCGCAGGCCAGGGAGAACACAGGCAGGGGTGGTCAGCCACACCCCAGCATGCAGGGATCAAGGTCCATAGAGACGCATGCAGTACATACCTTAAAAGTGAGACTGAAAGTGGTGGGAGGCACAGAGGCTAGACTGGAGCTCCGTGGCACTGCCTCCCTCTCAGGGAGCGGAAGGGCATCAGGCAGGGGCACCTGGAAAGGCAGGCGACACATCACTGTCTACGCCAGTTGCACAAGCCCCACTAAGAGTGATGCTGTGTGTTTATCTTTCGTTGGAACCAACAGGAGTATGTTAAGAGTTACATTACACTCACAGTAACTGGTGGTTCTTGGGCATCTCAGATACTAGTCCTAAAACACTCTGCCTTCTGTAAATGTAACGACAGAAAGAGCCCCGAGCAGGAGGCACACACCTAGAGAAAGGCTGCTGTGCTCTATGCACATGAATCGCCACGGGCACAGACACTGTCCAGCTGCAGTGACAATCCAGACGGCCTGGACGGGGCCAGACCCTGCGCTCCAAGCACGCTCACAGGACCACACGCACGTAGCAAGGCTCTAGGGGTGTGATTCCCACCATTCATGGGACTCGCATGTTTTCTATCAGAAGCACTTAACGCTGTACCGTGAATATAAAAAATTAATCTCTTCCCTGCAATATAGTCAACTTTCTTATACTAGGTTCAAGAACAAAAGTAACATTGGAGGAACGTGTGGAACACTAAACAGATGGCTTAGCTAGAGCAATACCATGATTATAGCGAATATTGCTAGAAATTTGAAGAAACTCACTACCCAGATCTCTTTTCCTCTAAGCCTCTGGCAGCTCACTCACTTGTTCTGGTGACTGTCCGGGTGCTTGGGTGCTAAGATCTCACTTGGCAATCCTATGGACTATGTAAGGGAGACGTATAATAGCTTGGACTCTTGACAGACATTAGTTTATAATATAATAATCAAAAACACCACCTCAATTTAAATCTTCAAAACATTCAGGATACAACTAATACTAGGTTAACACTAACCAATAATTACCAACAAAGATCCCGAAAAAGTGTATCAGGCCTCAATAAGGGGAATAAGCCTTTATTAAGTGTAATTTTTTTAAAAGACAAATGTCCTATCCAAAAGACAAGGAACAACAAATGCTGGCGAAGGTGCGGAGAAAAGGGAAACCTCCTACACTGCTGGTGGGAAGGTAAGCTAGTTCAACCATTGTGGAAAGCAATATGGAGGTTCCACAAAAAACTAAAAGTAGAAATACCATTCGGCCCGGGAATTCCACTCCGAGGAATTTACCGAAAGAAAACAAGATCCCAGATTCAAAAAGAGATATGCATCCCTATGTTTATTGCAGCACTATTTACAATAGCCAAAATATGGAAGCAACCTAAGTGTCCATCAGTAGATGAATGGATAAAGAAGAGGTGGTACACATACACAATGGAGTATATTCAGTCAGAAGAAGAAAACAAATCCTACCATTTGCAACAACAGGGATGGGGCTAGAGGGTATTATGCTCAGTGAAATAAGCCAGGCAGAGAAAGACAAGTACCAAATGATTTCCCTCATTTGTGGTGTGTAACAACAAAGTAAAACTGAAGGACAAAACAGCAGCAGACTCACAGACTCCAAGAAGGGGCTAGCAGTTACCTAAGGGAAGGGAGTGGGGAGGGAGGGAGAAGGGGATTAAGGGGCATTATAATCAGCACACATAATGTAGGGGGGTCACAGCATGGCACAGAGAAGACAAGTAGTGACTCTGTGGCATCCTACTATTCTGATGGACAGTGACTGCAAGGGGTGTGGGGGGCAACGACTTGACAACATGGGTGAATGCAGTAACTACAATGTTGCTCATATGAAACCTTTGTAAGACTGTATAGCAATGACACCTTAATAAAAAAAAACATGTCTTATGCATAAAATGGAACATTCAAACAGATTGAGTGAAAAAGGAACACTTCAAAAGGCCCTAGAACTTTTCCATAGAGGACACCTGTTTTCGTCACCGCATCAGGCTCCGGTCACCGCCACTCTTAGCAGAGCTGCACGGAGGACACTCTGACGCTTCCAGACACACACCCATATTCTCGCTTCCCAATGTATTCTGGACACGCTGCTAAAATCAAATGTAGGCTGACTCTACACGCGGGGTCTGCTCCTCATGAACAAGTCACAACAGTGACTGTCTAGAAGAGCACACAGAGCAGTAAAATGCTCACATGGACATTTCAGTAATGAGTTCTGAGAATAATGATCTTTTTTTCCTTATTCATATTTCATCAATCATATTTTTTGAGGGCGGTTTGGCAGAGAGCATCACAGCTCAGGTACCTGAGACGTCAGTGCTTCGGTGCTGGGTGCCCACAGTGATTCTGTCCTTCCCACGTTTCCCACCACCCCCTACAGGAAGCCAAATGCGCCTCAGCCATTCTCGAAAGCCAGGGGAAAGGAGCAGGCACACGAAGCAGTTCTGTAACGCCTGAAAGCCGGATGCAGGACACCGCTCCGCTCCTAAACCCCCAGCACAGAGAAAGCACGGGGCCCACTCCTTTCCTCAGCTACATGCTGAGTCCTACCAACAAAAGCTGGATTAAGTGATGCATCTCGCCTCTCTGAAGTGCTACATGCCCAACACTAGAGGGAAGAACAGAAGAACTGCACATGGGAACCCTGCAAGACTCGGTATTTCTCCTCAAAATGACACAGTCAAGGCCCTTTGCGAGAGCCTTTAAATGCACCCACGAAGGATACTGCTGGCAAGAGCAGGCCTTTGCTTACTGGAGAGGGTCTAATTAAAAAGCAAAGCAGCTGACTGCCACCCCACCTGCCTTCCAAACAAGGTCCCACATGTGACGTCTAAGCGCTCTCCTGCCTCAGCAGGTCACCGTCCCCTCTGGGCCAGCTGTGCTCTGCCTGACATTCGGTGAATGGGCAAAACGATGCGGTGTGCTGACTTTTAAGGCAATCTTGAATCATGACAAGGTTCCTCTGGCAAACTACAGCCAAGTTTACATGACTTACCACCTTTTCACACAGCATTCAGGCGTCTCCTAGGAACACATTATAGCTCAGTCTTCACAACAGGGGTGTCGTTGTTCAAGTTCAGTGTAATCCCCCCCTTTTAAAATTAAGAAACATCTATCTAGATCTTCAGTTGTCTTTTTGTTTTAACTGAGTGAGCTTTCACTGCATTATAAAAAGGTCTCACTAAAGAATAAAATCACCAACCGGTAAAAGGGTCCATCTGTGGATGTGGAAGTGAAGAACACTTCTCACCCAGACCAGGCTGATATGATCAGTACTTATGAAACCAACCCTGAGCACAAGTCCAGGCCTGAACGGAAAACTGATGACTTTCAGGGGGAAACAGAAACTCAGCCTCGACTACTCTTGCTAACTGTGATTATATTACAGTGCCCCTAAATCCATATTTACTATCAACCCTTCCCTGGGAAGTGTTCAACACTGGTCCTACAGTGTGTACTGGACAACAGTGGCCAGGTTCCTATCCACCTTGTCACATCTGAGGTTGATTACTTACATTATTAACCAAAGCACCATCCATCTTTGCACTATTAGTAGCCACAGTGTTAGGCAGAGAAGAAGAAGGTGTGGTGTAGTCTGTTACAGACTCCTGTGGAGTAGCAATAAGAAAAAAATACATTTCAAACTGAATCAATATGTCACAGCCTAACAGCTGTAATGCCGTTTTATGGAAAAAAGCAGGAGAAAACAGACCTTAGACTGAACTCATTCAAATCCAAAAAGCCACCAGTGGGATAAAACACAGAGACCACCAAGATGACAGCATTTCTACTACTGCTGGGGTCCTGCACACAGTACTAGGAGGTCGTCAACAGTACCAAATACTTTTTTTTGTGATTAAAAGAACTTTTGTGTGGTTCTCATAATCTATAGCTTATTTTCAACTACTGATTTTTTATTCTCTTCAAAGTAAGAGCACAGGTAATGCCAAGACCTTAGCTGTCACATTAATTAGGTCTCAGGATAAACTCCTTGTTTACTATCATAGATCTCTCTTTACATAGAGCCAGATCCTACAAGCTTGTCACTGACATGCACCGATTTGTATGGCGATTAAAGAGAACAGTACTCAAATAGTACCCAAAATCCACCCATCTTTTTCCTCAATGGACATGCGTCCCAGACTGAAATGCAACAGCAGATATGAATTTGCCACTCCCAGTTTCAGAGCCCATGGTCACCCAGCGCACCCTACCTTAGAGGATTTCTAAAGATGACACCTTCCACTCAGTGTCCCCACATGCAAGTCAACTACCTCCTCAGATGCCTGACCAACAGATCAGTGGTCTGTGCCAACCCAGGGACTGGCTACACTGCAGTGACCAAACATCCATGTCCTGGCTTCATATCTCACTAGTTGGGCAAGGTAAGGCTCCCCTACAACTCAGTTAACAGAAAACAAAGTAATACATCACAATTCTTTCAAAGCCTGCAAGCCCAATGGAAAGCCTTCTAAGCTCATGCAAACAATTTTACCTTTAATATTTAAGAATTAATTTTTGCAGAATGAGATAATTAAGGGATTTCTTTAGATCACATATGCACACCAGGAAATAAAATCTTCTCTGGTGAAACAATAACCCATAGATAGGCCATCCACGGAATTCTATGACCCAAGCAAAGAGACGCTGGCCTTGCTGTGTCTGCCGCAAAAGCATCCCAGGAACACGGCTGGTGACACCTGCAGGGGCAGCCCCCGTATGTGCGGCTCACCTTCACGTCGGCACCGTACTCCGCCGGCGGCCCCGAGATCATGGTCCCAAGGTCTGTGGGCATTTCCGATGCCACTTCGGTGTCCTTTGTGGCCACAGCATCTGTACCTCTGCTGGTCCCAGGGCTGGGCTTCTCTTGTCCCGGCTCCACCTGCTGGGCGTCTCTTGCTTTTCTGTTTTTTAACGAACGTTCCTTTCCAATAGGACCAGGTTTATGTTCTTTGTTTTCTACTGGACTCAAATCTGGAAGCTAAATTCAATGCTCATGACAAAAAGCCATCAAGACGTTCACCGAAAACTAAATTCAATTTTGAAGTTGTCATTTGTTCTCCCTAAATATTAGCAATTCTCAAAAATCCTACCTAGGATATAAATCGCATTACCTTCTGGGCCTTGATAGGGCCTGCCCGCGGCTGCTTCTGCCGCTGTTCCTTCGGTTCAGGGATCTTGTCGGCAGTTTTCTCCAAAAGCACAGGAACAATTTCGTTTTCATTCCCGTTTGAAGCTGGAGCACCAAACTGAATTGTGTCAATTCCCATTTCAACTCCACTTTCTGTGCCATTCTTTGTTCCCTAGTAAAATAATTTGAAAACTTCCTATCAAAGCAGAGTTCAAATCTGAATGACTCACCCAGTAGCACACATTTTAAGGGGACAACAGGAGGAGGTGTGGAGCAATCTACACATCAACTGACACTGATTATGTTCTAAGAGAACTTTCCCTTAACCATATTGGTCTAGAGAACAAATGATGAAAGGAAAACTGGCACAAGACTTAATTTCCACCTCATGAGTGTGATCACAGCCTCTAGTTATTTCTCACTTAAAACAAGTATGAAAGCAATAACCACACACAGCACCATAAATGAGGGAGTGGGGGGAAGAGCAATACCCACATCACCTACTTCTCAGAAATCTGTTTTAAAAATGACAATATCCATTTCAGTACCTGGGGTGGGGAATGGAATGCACACACCTTAGGAATCCTCTCATCAGTTAAACAGCTAACTTACCCAGCACCTGCCTTGTGCTGGGCCCTGATACAAACGACTAGCAATCTCATGGGCATAACTTGCAAAACAGTGGATGGAGAAAGCAAACTAAAAAGTCAAGTAAAACAGATTGGCAAAATCAAAACAGATTGGCAGGGAAAGGCCCAAACAAGTCACACTGAAACGGAATTAAAAAGATAATCAGTGGCAGAGCAAACACCTGGCAAAGGTCAAGGCTAATGCAGGCTAGAGGCTGTGACACAGCAGGCACTAGAGCATGTGAGTAGCGGGGTGCTCCGTGGCATGGGGCTTTGTAAGCTAGATGAGATGTTTACAGCGACTACTTACTGAGCTCACAGAAGAACAAACAAAAGCTGGAGATGAAGTTCAACTTCAGGCCCTGGTCTGCAATTCAATGACTACTACCCCTGTTTTTGGCATCCCTGGACTCAATGTGTCAATAAATTATGTGTAAGGTCATTGCTGTATTTATCAGTATAAATGGGCAAATCACTCAGATTTACTTTTAATACCTAAGTATTCATTTTCAAATACAAGAAAACATCAACGTAACTTGAAAATCTGCTTTAGTCAATGATATTCTACAGTCATTCAGTACAAATGTACAGTTTGTACTAGAAGAACTAAATGGTGTAATAATTAATGACTGAAAACCACTGATCTATGTACAAACACAATTAAGAACTCACAGTTCAGTGAATTGGGAAAGACACTGATGGTTAACAAGACTATCAGAGAATGTTAGACAGCCTTAGGGAGAGTATTATACAGAGACAAAAAATATTCATACAACATGCATAATACAAGGGTGATAAAGCTTAACTCACTTAACATCAATCTCTGTCAGTCTACTGAGTATAGCCAGTATTTTTAATATGAAACATAACCATTAAGAGCTCTATTTCACTAGAGCAATTCAATGTTTCTGTTCCGCGAAACAGATCAAAAGTAAAACGTCAGCTTTGCTCATTTAAAAGTTTGCCAAGTGGATATTCTCCCAAGTTACATAAAATGAATATCCTTGCATACCCACAATCTATCCAAAAACATAAAGAACATAGAGGATGAAGAAAAATGCGTGTGCAGACAACGAAACACCTTCAAAATACGTCGCTCCTGCAACTGGCTTGGGGGGCAACGTAAGCATCCTGTCAGCACTACAAACTTGTAATAAAACGTCTAGAAGAAAAATCCTGCAGCCAAGAGAGCTGAGAAACTATGGTGTCAGTTCAAAACCCGGACCAAGCATTTTAATAACATCACTGAACCCAGCGCCCCAAACAAGAGCCACGAAGAGCGACAAGCTCCCAACTCGGTCCTTCACGCCATGAACACTCAGCTAGTCACAACGCTAGTCACAACGCCAATACCAACAGAAGAAAAATGATTAAACTGAGGATCTTAAACACTGACTCCAGACTTTTAATTTTACTTATACAAAGAGTTCTCTATAGACCTTTAATGCAGATGATGAGGTCTGCCCCAGACCCCAGTCAGACAGTGGAATTAGGGTAGGGATAGCAGGAAGACACTTTCAAATGACCAAGGGCCTCTCATCCTGTAAGCACCCCCAGCAAAGCTCCTCGGAGCCTTGCTCTCACCTTTTGCCCCAGTTTCCCCTGAACTCACTCTAACCATCCACACTGAGTGTCAAAGCCAACAGGACCCCCCCCCACCGACTCCGATAAAGCCTGCCGCCATGGGCGCTTGGCCTACAGGCAGCAGGCACACCGGATGCAGAACTCTTTACACCCACCTCACCCGGACTCCGGGGCATGTTTCCAGTCACTCAGGTTCCCTACCTCCCACATCCCCTGGAGCTGGAAAGCCTCAGAACTTAGTGTTTGATTCTCCTTTTTTTAACCTACTCTCCTAACTCATTCTCCCTGAATCTCACCCAACATCACATAAAGCACCACTGAATTACTTCCACATTCACGTCTCTAAACTAGATTATCTTCTCTGAACTACAAACCCTCACTCACATCCAATCATCAATTTCCACTTGCATGTGTAGTAAACATCTAAACCTTGATATGCCCTAAGTGGAACCTCCCATCCTCTCCCCCAGGGCAGATCTGTCTCATAGCTTCCCAGTCTGAACCCCAATGGGCGTGAGATCCCTCTTGCCACTCAGGCCAAAGACTTGGCGGTGACTCTTGACTCCCAGCTCTCACAGGCCGCATCAAGCCCATCAGCAGACCTACAGCTCTATCTACAAATACCCAGAAACCAGCCATTTCTTGTCACCCTTAACACACGTCCCTGGTTTCCACTGTCATTGCTGTTGCATTAGCAACCTGACTTCTGCTCTCTGGCCCCCCCCAGGTTATTCTAAACAGACTACCTATAATAATAATCTTTTTAAAGGCAGAGTCTGTCATTTTTTTTTTTCTGCTCCAACTACTGTCTTCTCACCTCTTCAAAAGGCCCTGTAGGATCTGCCCCCTGTTCTCCTCCCAACTCCATCTGTGCTGTCGGTCCCTTACTTCACTCTGGTCACACCAACCCCCTCATTCTTCCTCAGACACACCAGGCACACTCCACTCCCAAGGCTCTTATGATGCTCTGCTCTGTGAACCAGGAGTCTACTGTCCACGGACACTTGAACAGCAGGCTCTCTTACTTCCTCCAAATCTCTAATTTAAATGTCAGCTGGGCGGCCCTTCCCGGCCACCCTGAGGTAGATCGTGTCCTCCTGCACTTTCCCGGCTTGGGCTGTGCCCCCCCAGCTCAGGCCACGTGTCACTGCTGGTGGCCTCTGCCCGACACAGCAAGAGCCCCTGAAGTGCAGGGCCCATCATTCTTTCTCACCTGTTTTGTAAACCTACAGGTCAGAACAGTACCTGCTATACTGAAAAGGTTCAGTAAAAGTCTGTTCAATGAATAAATGGAGAATTACTGACCTAATCACTTACTAATCATGTGCACTTCAGGAATTTTAAGAACCTCCTGTAAACTCTTAGTTGTACTGCCTAACTTTATAGTAGTAAAATCCAGAAAATAGTAACTCTGCTTATATTCTATCACAAGGAGTTTTCCTGAGACTAGAGCTAAAAAGATGTTAATCTTAGTATGTCTGAAGGTGAGAGACAGCTTATGCACAGAGACCCAGCAGCATCAGCACACGGGAGCTTGCTGACTCAGAGCCCCGGGAACCAGGACCTCTGGGCCTGGGTCCCGGCATCTGGCTCAGTCCCTTCTCCAGGTGACTGATGCACACTAACGCTGAGAGACTGTTGGAAGGAAACTGCCACACTAACCCACTGAGGCCATTATTAAGCCCATTCCTACCTCTGTTGAAGCTGATCCAAACGACGTCAGGGGCTTATTCCATGCACTGACTGAAGGTGGTTGTGGTGGGCTGATGGGACCTACTGGGAAGCAGCCACAGGGAAGTGTGACCATTAACATCTAGAGGTAATGATCCCCAATCTATTTAACCCTTTCTTTTAATGGTAGCTAGGCAATAAAACAATGACTTTTCACATCAGGCTTAGAGAGATTCTCGCATATTAAAATAGATTTAAGTCCCCCCAAACATGGTATAATCTTTTTTAATCAATAAAACTGTGTCCATAAAATGTGGCTGTTAAAAGTATAATACACTTGTTTTAGAAATAAAGGTTTTAAAAAAGGAAGATCAGAAAAATTACTATTACTACTTCTTAAGAAAAAGGAGGTTAGAAAAACACACATAGTGTATAAATGAGACTGAAAACAAACTCCCACATTCCCGCGCCATTCCCCGCCCCTCGTCTCTCTTGCACACTTACGTTTCTTAGAGATGTCATTCAGCACAGAGGCTGGGGCTCCCTTATTGTCCCACAGTTCAGCTGTAAGAGTGCCATGTGGCTGTGCGGCTGGGACAGGTTTCCCTGTGGCTACATAATCTGCACCATGAAGTGTCTGTGCTGAAGCTGCTCTTACGGAAGGTGGTGGCTGTTTTGAAGACTGCGTGGTCGTCTGGAGTGGACTCTGGACTGGCTTGAGAGTCTGTCCCTGAGCCTGCACTGGGGCAGTGGGGTTTGGGGCACCCGAGGCAGGGGTAGGGGCAAGGACTGGGGCAGGGGCAGCTGAGACGGCAGCAGCTGGAGTTGGAGCAGAAGCTGGTGCGAGGGCGGAAGCAAGGACGGGAACTGAGGTGGAGGCAAGGATGGCGGCTGGGGCTGAAGCGGAGGGAAGGCCGGGGACGGGGGCAGGGGCTGGAGAAGAGGCCGCAGCCTGGGCTGGGGCGGAGGCTGCAGCTGGGGCTGGGGTGGAGGCTGGGGCAGATGCCGGCACGGGGGTGGAGGCAGGGACTGGAGCTGCAGGCTGTGTTTGCTGGGTCCCTGTTGCCTGTTTTTTAGCAAATCTTGGAGGAAGCTTAGAAGTCTGACTTCTTCCCTTTTCATTTGCATTCTTTTTGTTCCAGACCTTAAAAAATTGGTAAGAACCATTTCTGTTAATAAAACAGCTGAAAGCAACAGTTGATGAATATAATTTCTAACAGATATCTATTGCTGATTTAGCTCCTTTTCAAAATCAGTACCTGAGAAAGCAAAAATGTCAAGGCTGCTAATGAGATTTTAAATTACGTGACGCTAAGACGCCATATGGAAAAAAGACAAATACGCATTATATATGCATTCTTGATATACAAGGTCCCAATCTGCTTCCCACAATTCTGAAACTCGGAACATCAAGGAATTTTGTAGTAAGTTCACTTGGCAGCAAAATCTGACCTGACTGGACAAAAAGCTACTCACGCCTTAAGTCATGTTTGCCACAGGAACACTGATTCTGGCATGCTGGTGGCATGTCGTGCTCTATAGGACACACAGACTACTTTCACCCTCCCAAAAAATAAATGCATCAGTGGCTTAAGACACCCAGTCCCCAAGGGTCACACCCAAGTGAAGTCACACAGGCTGCTTACAGCTCTCTGACCCTGAGCCCTCTCACCTAGAGCTCTTCATTACTGTGACCCATGTTTCTACTCACTCTTATCCCTTGTCAGCATTTAGCAAAAAGGGTGTTTGGGTTGACTTAAATGGAATAATGTAGCTTGATTCACACTGCATATTTAAGTGAAATCCCAGTCTGAACCCCAATGGGCGTGAGATCCCTCTTGCCACTCAGGCCAAAGACTTGGCGGTGACTCTTGACTCCCAGCTCTCACAGGCCGCATCAAGCCCATCAGCAGACCTACAGCTCTATCTACAAATACCCAGAAACCAGCCATTTCTTGTCACCCTTAACACACGTCCCTGGTTTCCACTGTCATTGCTGTTGCATTAGCAACCTGACTTCTGCTCTCTGGCCCCCCCCAGGTTATTCTAAACAGACTACCTATAATAATAATCTTTTTAAAGGCAGAGTCTGTCATTTTTTTTTTTCTGCTCCAACTACTGTCTTCTCACCTCTTCAAAAGGCCCTGTAGGATCTGCCCCCTGTTCTCCTCCCAACTCCATCTGTGCTGTCGGTCCCTTACTTCACTCTGGTCACACCAACCCCCTCATTCTTCCTCAGACACACCAGGCACACTCCACTCCCAAGGCTCTTATGATGCTCTGCTCTGTGAACCAGGAGTCTACTGTCCACGGACACTTGAACAGCAGGCTCTCTTACTTCCTCCAAATCTCTAATTTAAATGTCAGCTGGGCGGCCCTTCCCGGCCACCCTGAGGTAGATCGTGTCCTCCTGCACTTTCCCGGCTTGGGCTGTGCCCCCCCAGCTCAGGCCACGTGTCACTGCTGGTGGCCTCTGCCCGACACAGCAAGAGCCCCTGAAGTGCAGGGCCCATCATTCTTTCTCACCTGTTTTGTAAACCTACAGGTCAGAACAGTACCTGCTATACTGAAAAGGTTCAGTAAAAGTCTGTTCAATGAATAAATGGAGAATTACTGACCTAATCACTTACTAATCATGTGCACTTCAGGAATTTTAAGAACCTCCTGTAAACTCTTAGTTGTACTGCCTAACTTTATAGTAGTAAAATCCAGAAAATAGTAACTCTGCTTATATTCTATCACAAGGAGTTTTCCTGAGACTAGAGCTAAAAAGATGTTAATCTTAGTATGTCTGAAGGTGAGAGACAGCTTATGCACAGAGACCCAGCAGCATCAGCACACGGGAGCTTGCTGACTCAGAGCCCCGGGAACCAGGACCTCTGGGCCTGGGTCCCGGCATCTGGCTCAGTCCCTTCTCCAGGTGACTGATGCACACTAACGCTGAGAGACTGTTGGAAGGAAACTGCCACACTAACCCACTGAGGCCATTATTAAGCCCATTCCTACCTCTGTTGAAGCTGATCCAAACGACGTCAGGGGCTTATTCCATGCACTGACTGAAGGTGGTTGTGGTGGGCTGATGGGACCTACTGGGAAGCAGCCACAGGGAAGTGTGACCATTAACATCTAGAGGTAATGATCCCCAATCTATTTAACCCTTTCTTTTAATGGTAGCTAGGCAATAAAACAATGACTTTTCACATCAGGCTTAGAGAGATTCTCGCATATTAAAATAGATTTAAGTCCCCCCAAACATGGTATAATCTTTTTTAATCAATAAAACTGTGTCCATAAAATGTGGCTGTTAAAAGTATAATACACTTGTTTTAGAAATAAAGGTTTTAAAAAAGGAAGATCAGAAAAATTACTATTACTACTTCTTAAGAAAAAGGAGGTTAGAAAAACACACATAGTGTATAAATGAGACTGAAAACAAACTCCCACATTCCCGCGCCATTCCCCGCCCCTCGTCTCTCTTGCACACTTACGTTTCTTAGAGATGTCATTCAGCACAGAGGCTGGGGCTCCCTTATTGTCCCACAGTTCAGCTGTAAGAGTGCCATGTGGCTGTGCGGCTGGGACAGGTTTCCCTGTGGCTACATAATCTGCACCATGAAGTGTCTGTGCTGAAGCTGCTCTTACGGAAGGTGGTGGCTGTTTTGAAGACTGCGTGGTCGTCTGGAGTGGACTCTGGACTGGCTTGAGAGTCTGTCCCTGAGCCTGCACTGGGGCAGTGGGGTTTGGGGCACCCGAGGCAGGGGTAGGGGCAAGGACTGGGGCAGGGGCAGCTGAGACGGCAGCAGCTGGAGTTGGAGCAGAAGCTGGTGCGAGGGCGGAAGCAAGGACGGGAACTGAGGTGGAGGCAAGGATGGCGGCTGGGGCTGAAGCGGAGGGAAGGCCGGGGACGGGGGCAGGGGCTGGAGAAGAGGCCGCAGCCTGGGCTGGGGCGGAGGCTGCAGCTGGGGCTGGGGTGGAGGCTGGGGCAGATGCCGGCACGGGGGTGGAGGCAGGGACTGGAGCTGCAGGCTGTGTTTGCTGGGTCCCTGTTGCCTGTTTTTTAGCAAATCTTGGAGGAAGCTTAGAAGTCTGACTTCTTCCCTTTTCATTTGCATTCTTTTTGTTCCAGACCTTAAAAAATTGGTAAGAACCATTTCTGTTAATAAAACAGCTGAAAGCAACAGTTGATGAATATAATTTCTAACAGATATCTATTGCTGATTTAGCTCCTTTTCAAAATCAGTACCTGAGAAAGCAAAAATGTCAAGGCTGCTAATGAGATTTTAAATTACGTGACGCTAAGACGCCATATGGAAAAAAGACAAATACGCATTATATATGCATTCTTGATATACAAGGTCCCAATCTGCTTCCCACAATTCTGAAACTCGGAACATCAAGGAATTTTGTAGTAAGTTCACTTGGCAGCAAAATCTGACCTGACTGGACAAAAAGCTACTCACGCCTTAAGTCATGTTTGCCACAGGAACACTGATTCTGGCATGCTGGTGGCATGTCGTGCTCTATAGGACACACAGACTACTTTCACCCTCCCAAAAAATAAATGCATCAGTGGCTTAAGACACCCAGTCCCCAAGGGTCACACCCAAGTGAAGTCACACAGGCTGCTTACAGCTCTCTGACCCTGAGCCCTCTCACCTAGAGCTCTTCATTACTGTGACCCATGTTTCTACTCACTCTTATCCCTTGTCAGCATTTAGCAAAAAGGGTGTTTGGGTTGACTTAAATGGAATAATGTAGCTTGATTCACACTGCATATTTAAGTGAACTGATTTAGATTAGAATAGCAACTTTTATAGGTTAACAAACTGCAACTTATTAGATCATGGCAGTTGTGTCATTAGATTTCTAAGATAATTTAAAAGTGACTCTAACTCTGCCACGAAGATGGCAAGTAAGGTGACCAGTAACAAAGCACGAAACATGCTCTTGAAGTAAAGTGACGATGGGCCACTCCCAGGCAAACATGAGCTACAGGGATTATATTCCACTTAAAATATGCCTCAACTGGGTAAAATAGTTTAAAATCACGAAACTGAAGTCACTGTCAACGCCTTAACTTCACAGACAGAGGCCTGGCCATCGGGCGCTGACCTGGGCGCTCTGCTCCTCCTTCTTCCGGCGCTCCTCATCCTGCAGGCGCTTCTGCTGCTTCCGGGACACGACCTCGGTAAAGCCGTCATCATGCAGACTCGACTGCGGGTCTTCAACAACCGTCACTTCAGGGTGGTCATCAATTATGACAACACCTGGGGCACGGGAGGAGAGTGAGGTATTTTTTTTCTGTTTTTCAACTGAACAAATAGAAATGTTCAGGCCAGTAGTGATTTTTAAAAAGAAAGACAAGGCAAAGACCTAGTTTGTACAGCTCACAGTATGACGAATGTCCCACCCAGGATGCAATTTATTAGTAACACTGGAAAAGATTTCATAAACCAGGTAAAAAATACAAGTCCTAAAACTGTCTGCCTTGAATGTTATAGTTCTTTATCAATACAGTGCTTCCCCGTATCCTCAGGAGATACGTTCCAAGACCCTCAGGAGGTGTCTCATCTCTCTCCTTGGGATGATGTGAGGTAATAAAATGCCTATGTGATGAGATGCAGTGACGTGACGCACACAGGCAGAGTGACGTACGTCACAAGAATGAGCACCTGTTCTGGACCATCTGGACCTCAGGTAACCATGGATGTAGGGAGGACCACTGTGTTTTGAAACAAAAACCAAACTTCAAAATTATCCTATTATCTTCATCAATCACTCCATCTCTACCTCTCCCACACCCAGGTCTGTATTATGCTGCAAAGACCTACACAGGAATTCACTTTATTTGCACCTAAGCATCCTCAAATTATTAGTATTGTTTCCCTTCTTTAAAGGATCAGATGAGCTCTGAGAGTCTCTTTGATGAAGTGAGGTGGTGCCTAGACAAGCTGGTCACAGGGCTCTTCATGCCTCTATGTCATGAAGATCACTGTCCACACATACAGCTGTTAAAAACAAATGAAACATGCAGAAGTCCCAAGCGAACAAAGCGATGCAGATACACACACCCCATGACACCCCAGCAGATGAGTGACTCGGGAGCTATTTCCAACTCGTCCAACTAACATTTATAACATTAAAATTATACACCCACAGTGAGTTTAAGAAAGTGAGATCCATTGAACAATATTAAAAGAAAAATTAAAATAGTTCAGGTAACGTGATTTGGGGTTGCAGGTATGTTTGCCCAAAAAATATAAGAAAAGGGTGAGACAATCCAAGTAAATTATTTTAATTTTGGAAACAATGTATGTTTTAATTGGGGAACACACAAAATAAAAATAGATAGTTGCTTGGGAACGGTATGTACAGTTCAGGATGGTGCTAACTTGTGAGGATGACAAGGGGATACGATCAGGGAATGATGCATAGGTAATCTACTTGTAAACTATTCTTTTAAAATAGTTAAAAATTTCCATTTATGTAAGTACTGTCAGAGAAGCAAAAAATAAATACTGACTGGCTTTCACTCTTCAAAAACATGTTATATTGTTACTGCTTTTCTACTAAAAACCTGACTGAAACGCAATCATCTGTGACACCTCTACATATGCTGAATCCTTTAGGAAACTGACCCTAATGTAGAACACAGGCTCCTTTCAACACAAAGTCTCAGTCAGACATTTCAAAGATGGCCGTGTGCCCCAGCACTTCGGACTGATGATGAGAACTCTCCATCATTCTAAGTTCATCTCAGGTTTTCACTTAGACTAAAAAGTGTGTGTGTAAAGCTTATCGTCACAGCCATGCCATCATTTGTTATTTAATTTTGCAAATGGAGCCTTTAGACCCCTTTGAAGAGTTCGCTGGCCCAGCTACAGGCAGCACTGGAAGCAGCACTGGAAACAGCACGATCCTTTGTTTCCAACACCCTGTTCTTGCCTGGTGCGCCTTGTGACATTTTGGTCTGTCTTAGGAGACATTACTTAACAAATGTTATTAGGAAAACAACCTAGAGATGACAAACTCTTAACTTTCATGAGTTAAAACGAATAGCTCAATTTCTATAAACTCAGAAATATAATAGAGTTCTTACTGTGTTATATTCATGTCTATTGAAATCAACTATTACTTTGGGAAATTTCTACCCCAAAAGTTCTTTGGAAAGAGGAAAACTGGTAAAGAAATAATTGGGAAGACAAATCTGCTATTTTTGTGGGCTTTTTGTAATCCTCACATTTCCCAGGTGTGCATTTAGATGGTGCTCATCTCCTCTCTCGTGGACCACAAGGTCAGCATCTGAGCTTCCTGGGCTCGCTCCACCTGTTTTCTGTAAACCAAGGCTCTCCAACTTCCACAGTGCCAACACCCCCAGCTGGCTCCCTGAGAACTACGGGGTGACTGATTTAGCAGTATCCCTGGTCTATACCCACTAAGATGTCAACAATGTCCAGCCCCAGTTGTGACAACCAGAATGCGTCCAGTGATTTGCCAAGTGCTCCAGAGTGAAAAATCACTTCTGTTGAGAACCACTGCTCTGACGATCTAACTAAAGATTCTTAAACACACAATTAAGAGGTAAATTTCTATCTTTCCCATGTGAACCCTAAAATGACAGTCTAGAATAATGGTTCTCAAATGCGTGTGTGCACTGGAATCACTTGGAGACTTGTTAAAACAGACTGCTATACATTCCAAGAGTTTCTGGTTCAGTGCGGTCTGGGACAAAGCCCGAGGGGCTACAGTTCTCACAAATTTCCAGGTGATGCTGATGAGGAGGAGCACACTTTGAGAACCCTGGTCTAGAAATACTAATGCCAAAGTCCTGGGCCCGAAATCCAGTTTAATATGCATAAATAGGCATCAAGCACACGAAAACTCTCATCTGTAGCTCTAACACTGGAATAACAGTACCTAAGTTTCCCATTACTATATCTGGTCTTACCTTAGTAAATCTCTCAGTTTTTTCCACATTTCCAGCTTAGGTCAAATCTGAATAAATGGCAAACAGCGCATTTTTACATATGTGTCTACTCAGATTTCTGTTAAGTTCCTCATCAAATACTTCCTTCTTGCTGGGGTCATCATTCGCATCTGGATATCCCATCAGCTTCACGGTATCTGAAGTGTTTACCCACACAGAACAACACTGCCTCCCACCCTATACTGATTCTGTTTACTATGTCTTAGATGCCAACTTTACCAAGGTCCTAACTAACTGAAGTCAACATTTCTCTCATACATACTAAGCATCTGTTTGGTTCTCTGTACTTTCCTGTACCTATCTGGCAAGGTAGAGTGTTTCTCTCCTTTTTAACGAAGAACAGTGAAACCCTGTGGATTATCTTAACAAGACTTAAAGCAGTATTCAAGTATATGCTAAAAAATGGTGTTATTTTAGTTTAAGTTGTGTTAGTGATTCATCATCAGCCTCTAACCTCTCTGTCTTGTAGCCCTGTAGATTCAACTCTTTTGTTCTTTGCTGCCTTATTTATAGTATCTACTCATGTGTAACAAACAGACATGTAAAAAGTACATGAATAAAAGGGACATGAGACATACTTGCATAATTGTTGAGATCAAACTGGGACAACGCGTCTACTTTCTCTTTGGGTTTTTTAGGGCCTGGCTTGGTGTCGTCTCTCTTCTTCCCAGTGGCGTCCTTGGATCCCTTCTGTCCTGTCCCATTAGGTACCCCCTCCTGGTGCTGTGAAGGGCTGCTGCTGGCAAGATCAACACCTGCTGTGCCTGCAGATGGGTCATCAGGTGGCCTACAAACAGTAACAGAAACAGGAGCCATCACTACACCTGAACAAAAGAAAACTGCTCTCACTGTTGATTTGTAGAGTTCAGTCTACAAAGAGATGACAGTGGGATAAAAGACCCTAATTCTAAAAGCAACAAGCCCTTGTGGCTTTTGTTGAGTGCAACCTCACTAAAACGGAGTTTCCCAAAGACAGACTAGCTCCCTAGGGTTCTTTCCAGCAATTAAATTCTAAAATTCTAATTATTCCCTTAAGGTTCTTAATTATGTCTATTTGTCTGATCACCATTGTTTGCATCAAAATTTGTGATCCAAGCTGGTCCCAAGTAGTCACTACTCTATCTTCTCCACAAGAGGGCAGCACATGAAAAAATTTTAAGTGTTCCATGTTCACACAGTGTTATTTTTTAAAGTTCAGATTTATGCATTAATGTAAACATTTTTTTAAAAAGTTCAGATTTATGCATTAATGTAAACATTTTTTTAAAAACTTTCAATATGGAAGCAATTCACTTCACAAACCAAATGTACTTCTATAGTTTTTCTTTCCTAACAAATTCTATTCTTAGGTTCATTTCATACAAATTTTATGAAAACAGACCATGGACAATGGAGCACCAATTCATTTCCATTTCTGCTTACAGAATCATTTGAGATAAGAGCTTACCGAGTGCCTGGCACAAAGCAGGGCTTCCATCATCTGAGGGACGGACTCCCCTGTCCCACATGGGGCCCCTGCAGACATCTGCTTTCCAAACAACCAGGAGCTGCCACTATTCTTGCAGGGTCAAAGCTGCTGCCACCCACATGGCACTGAAGCCTTGCCAGGCAGCTGAGGCCTACATCGCACAGAAATCACATCAAGATTTCCCTTGACCAGAACTTCAAAACAGGAACGAAGGGAATAACCGACTAAAAACTGGAAGCCTGGGGTCGTGACCTGTTTATACGCAGGATTTAGCAAAAGCTGGATCAAAGAACTGGAGTGACAGCTGCGAGCAGCCCGATGCCTTCAATTTTGATCACCTCTCTCTTAGGCAGAGGTCGATCAAAAGAGAGGAATGGGAAACAAGAGGCCTCAAAAGGAGTCACTTATGTTAAATCCCCCCAAGACCTAATACCCAATTGCAGTTTCAGCCTCTCCAGCAAGTGGAATTTAAACCAATCCTGACCCATACTGGTGAGGTCACCTGCACAAGACCCCTGAATTCCCTCAGGGAAGATGACCTTGCCTGAAACAATCCTTTTTTTGCCAACAGTTTCCTGTCCTGTGTCTGCCTATGAAAGCTGCCTGTTTTGTACAACTGGAGGGACCTTCTAATTGTCAGATGGAGTATGCCAGACTCAGGCAGCAATTGTTGCACATTGTCAATTAGACCTTTAAATTAAAAAAAAAAAAAAAAAAAAGACTTTCCAAGTATCTTTACTCGAAATTCTAAGAGTTCAGTTACAGTCAACAACTGCACTGTTATTTTGACCTTACCTTATCCTACTCTTTTGGACTTTTAAAAGAAGCCTCAAATCCTATGTAAGGAGGCACTCAGGAAACATAACTGGTTGTTGCATAATTTCCCTAGAGGTGAGTGAGCCCTATCCCATTTTCTTAGGTATTTCCCTAAAATATCACAAAGCAAAATATGTTCACTGATGGCTGTACTTAACATTCTGTGCAGATTAATATCATACTGTCTGAATAAATTTCTTTTCAGCTCAGACTGCACACTTGGGAATTTGGTCAAAAAACAGGGGATACCATAATACACTGCTTACTACACACCAGGCACTATGTCACATGCTTCACCAACACCAAGCCAGCAGCCTCACACATTTTATAGGCACGACTTTCTCCCCATTCTGTTGGTGAGAAAGCAAAGACTAGCAAAAACAAATACCAGGGCCACATTTAAAACCGGGCACACCACTCCACTACTTTATGATTTTTCCTAATACTAAAGAAATCAGTTCACCGTTTACTATAACAGGCACCTAATTCAGCACAGTTTAGAAAAATTCTTTTTAAAAACAGCCAATGACATGGCATTAATGCTACTGGTGGCTTTGGCAGTGGTGGGCACAACTTTGCTTTCTGCACCTCTTTCTAGCCTGATCATCTACTTTAGGTTTATACCTGAAGAGGGGAGCATCATTTATTTGTCATGTTCAATATTCACTCTCTGGAAACCAGTAGAGAACAAAGTACATGCAAGTCCCAGAGCACCCCTGTGAGCACCAGTTTTGCAAAGAGAAACCAAGAAAGGTGGGCTACTCCCATAAAGAGATGACTTACTGGACAGAAAGACATCGTACTGGTCCCTCCACCGGTGCAGATGCAGGTTTTCCCAAAACCACAAATCCCCAAGAGGACTCTTCGGGAAAATGCACCTTAGCAGGCAAAGATGGCTGAAACAACTCCCTTCTGGCCTCAAACACCCTTACACTTTGAGAACAGAGAAAAGGCCTGTGTCCGGACTGACCCGAGCAGTTCAGCCAACATGTCCCCTCTTGGCTTCGGGAGAGGCGTGGGAGCAACCACATCTGACACTGAGTACTCACCCTCGCTTCCCACTTTTTGGCAGTGGGCCACTTCTCCGTTCATTCCTAGGACCCGAGAAATTCCTTCCAGATTTGGGGGCACCACTGCTGCCTCGCCGGTTCTGGCGATCTACGCCAGGCCTCTGACTAGAGAAGCTTCTCTTTGCTGTTTCCCTCCTTGGAGGTAAGATGTTCTCTCCGGCCTTTACAACTACTTGTGCACTCGGGTCGGCATTTCTTTTCCCACCCCGCTCTCGCCTCTCGTTGAAGTCGCTGCTTTCAGAAGCTGTTTCCCACTCCTCATTCGCCTGGTCCGACGAGTTCTGGTTTGGTGAGTCTGGCGTCTTATCCCCAGGGCCGCCCCCAGCAGCACCGACTGGTTCCTGCGCCGTGCTACCGGCCATGCCACCTGCCGCAGGCACCGGTGCCTCACGGGTTTTGGAAGCAGCTTCCCGCTCTCTTAACCGTCGAAACCGAGGGGGCTTATCTTGCCTCGGTGGCCTGGTAGGACGCTGCCTCCGGGGCCTCTCTCTAGCTGGGTCAAATTTTCGCTCAAATTTTGGAGGTCGTTTATCTGCTGGATTAGGAATGAACTGCTCGTGTCTCCTTGGTGGCTCTCCATCATCTGGTTTGGGAGCTTCTGCCTGCCTTGGGCTCCACTGATTGTCCCGATAAGCAGGCCTTCGTAAGGCAGGAGGCCGTGGCGGGCGACCTACAGGATCCCTTGCACCGCGTCTGAAAGTACCCCCTCGGCCTCGCCTCGAAGGCTCTCCTTTAGGAAGGAAACCCGGCTTGGACTTGTCGTCATCCCTTATGTAAGGTCTTCCCAGAGGCCTGTTATCAATTCGGGCATGATTTTCCAGCTTGAAGGACTGAGGCTTCATAGGTCTTCTGTTTTCAGACCGTTCTTCCCTCCTGAGAGGTCTGCCCTTGCTCGAACTGTCCCTGTCACTAGCGCTCTCATGGACCTCGCTGTCCGTGTCGGTCTCCGAGCCTCTCTGCCTCCTCCTTTTGGGCAGGACTTCAGAATCCGAGCTCTCGCTGCGCGTCTCACTCTCCTCCCGCCGCCTAGGAGGACCAGAGGGCGCCTGCTCTGTCCGCGGCCTGTGGTCTCTATAGGGAGCAAACTCCCGGGTATGCCCTCTACCCCCGCGGCCACGCCCTCCGTAGGAGCCTCTGTAGCTTCGGCCCCTGGAGTAGTACTCACCGCGGCCGCGGCCTCTGTACCCCTGATCTGGAAACCAGTCTCTCTCTCTAGCATCTTTCCAGTAGGTCCGAGGGGGTAACGCCAGCTCCTTTCTGACTGCTGGTCCCGAGTCAGGCCGTGGCCTCTCTGCCACGAGGTCCTTGCTGCCAGCTTTCTCAGGGGGCTCTTCTTCCTTGACGGCCGGCGCTGTGATGGTCAGCTGGGTCCCAGCTTCCGCGGCAGGCTCTACCTCAACACTCCTCATGGGGTCCAATGGCTCCTCAGCACCCTGGGGCGGCTTCTGCGCCACAACTGAGGTCCCTGGGGCAGGAGCTTTCTCCGGCTCCAGCTGAGGTGGCGGCAGCTGAATCGCCTGTGGCTGAACTGGTGCTGCAGGTGTTGGGGGGGCAGGTGGGGATTGTCTCTTCTCTGTCTTTTCGGGTTTTATGACTTTCTCTGTGACCTTTTCTCCCTCTTTCTCCCTCCTTTGCTCTCGCTCCTCTCTCATATCTCTAAGGACAGGCTTCTTAATGGGGCCTGACCGTCTCACGGGCCTATCAGGGCCTTCTTCTCTTCTGCTGGAGCTTGGCCGTGGACCCCACCGAGTTTCCGGCTTAGATTTATACAGCTTTTCGGGCTTCGGTCCCTCAGAGGGCCGTAGGAAGCCATCCTTCTTTGGCTTTTCCTCTGGCCTTTCTGCGGGCTCTCTGGAGTCAGTGCACCTGCTGGTTACTTTAGGAATGCTTGCACACGGCTCACTTTGCTCCTCTGACTTTTGAGCATGGTTAGATCCATGGGAAACACTTCTTTTCCGGGGAGGCTGACTTTCACCAGCTGAAACCCGCTCTTCTTGAGGAGTGGATACAGTCTTTTGATCAGGTACCTCAAAACAAGCAGGCTGATTACTTGTGTCAGAGAAATGAGGTCTAATGTCTTCCACAGATCTGCTCAAAAACTTCTGAACTTCTGTCTCACTTGATTCTATGAATTCTGCTTTTGGATGTGCCTCCAACTGGCTGCGTTCTACAGGATGAGCAGCAGTAATCTGTTCCTGATCCAACTGGGCTTCAGGCCTAGGATAATGAGAATTCATAGGCATAAAACCATCTAAGCAAAATCCTTCGCACATGTGAGTGTCAAGCAAAATGATTTCTCTAATTTTAAAACACAGAACAATGGATCCTAATCATAAAGAGCATCCTTTATGTCTGTACAAAAAGTTTAGTGCAGCATTACTCACAATAGCCAAGAGGTGGGAAAAAAACTAAATGTCCAATGATGATAGATGACTGAGTTAAGAAAACTTGGTGTGTGTGGGCCTGTGTGCAGTGGACTGAGGAAGGGAGGAAGGAGACCCTGTGATATGCTACGACAGGATGAGGACACACTAAGTGAAGTAACTCAGTCAGAGAGAATCATACTGTGTGACCCACTTATACAAGGGGTAGCATACGACCAAACGTGCCCAAGCAGGAAGAATGATGATTGTCAGGGACTGGGAGGAAGAAGGTAGTGAGTAGCTAATAAATGTGTATAAAGTTTCAGTTGAAAAGATAAGAAAGTGCTGGGGATCTATGGTACAAACATTGTGCTTTTGTTAAGAGGACAGATACTGTACCATGGTTTGTTCCTAATTAAAAATAAATGAAGTTTGTTACTTAAGATGAAAGGAAGTTCAGACCATACTGATGTGAATTCTCAATCCATCAAGACTAACAATTTCTACCTATAATTCAGAGTATACAAGGTTTACTTTCCCCAGTGAATCAGAATTTTTAAAAATCATAAAAAATACTCCTTAAAAGGGAAGAAGTTCTATTATCATTATAAATTACTAGAGATGACCGGTTATCTGCAATTTCATTGTACTTTTGTAAATTAGTATTTGTCCTTATCTTAGCCTTAGAAAAGTTCTGTAAGATACTGATAATTCAATGTCTCAGATTTCTCAACAGTGAAAGAATTACATCAACACATCAGCCAGACTACACGTGAAGTACCTAAATCAACAGTAGACACTTGCCAATTTTAACATCTAACCCTAAATTTCAGCATTTCATTCAGTGTACAGAACCAGGTTACAAAATACCCTAATACAGAAATACCAGAAAAAAGAAAGTATGTCTAAACATGAAATGACACGTTAAATAGGAGGAAGTTTTTGTGGATCTGCCACATAGTCCTAAATCTTAATGGCCTCACAAACACTATACAGTTTCCATTTCACCACAATATTCTATTTGGTCTATTACCAATTTTAATAATCACCTCACATCATCAGGTTCTTCTGCTGCCTTAGGAGTAGTGGCCCGTTGAGGCTCAGTCTGATGATAGGGGTCCGACCCCCACATCATACGAGACTCAGAGAGGGAAACCGTGTGATCTCTTGCAGGTCGAGCTATATGCTCAAAGGACTCAGAACTGTTTGGTGAGCCTTCCATCTGATCTCTTCTTATTAATGGCTTAGGAGGAATCATTCCTGTACAAAAGGCCAGAAAAACAAAAACAAAAACAAAATCAGAATCTAGGTTACCGATTACTATTTGGAATTCTCCGTATTAAACTAGAAATAATCTTGCCCAAGTAAAACTGATTAACTCAACAAATGATCAATGAAAATCAGAGTTTTTCTATGTATGAGGTTTTTTTTAACACTATTAAGTAGCCAGATTTAAGAACTGAGGAACCACAGCTGTGGCCTACTTTCTTTAAAAAAGAGAAGAAACCTGACGCCGGAGAGAGCCAGGCGACAAGTACTGTGACTCCATGTTAACACACGTTCATTCAAGTGCAGTGAGAATTACCCCGCCAGTGTACGTCCTGCAGAAAATGCATTAACCTACTTTAGTTGATAATAAGCTATAAATCATGTTTCAAATTTTAAAATTCCAGTGTAAATTTTAAAACCATGTTTTGATCACCCCTGAATTTTCCTCTATATCATTTTGGTAATGAATTATCTGGACTTATTCTGATAGATTCCATAAAAGGTTGTTAATATTTGTTTGTGGCTAATGTATAAGGAAACTCAAGTATTAGGCTGACAAATGATGGAGAACTCTGAAAAGCTGGAATATATAATATACATACAAAATTCAAATGCTGAAACACTTAAAAATAATGTAGTAAATAACATACTGCTAATAAGATAGGAGATAATTTTCCATCTCAAAATTTTTAAGTAACATTCACATACCACAAGGTAAGATTCTGGTATTATCACACTGTTGGTACAATGCCAGGCACTTAGAGAACTTGTTTGTGCTGAAAGGAAGTTACATAACTTTATGATTAAAAATCCTGGGGTCCTGTCTAAGTTCTTAGTGAGTTGTAACTCTAAAAGGAATAAACACTAAACGCAGAGGAGAAACACAAACTAGTGCCTGGTGTAACTCAAGGACGTGTGGTGAGGCAAGCCCCCTGCGGCTTACCGGGGTGAAGGGGCGGGATGTCCACCGCAGGTCGGCCCGATATCACTCTCGGGTCCATGTAGGGCTGCATCAGGAGCCACCTGGGGTCGAAGCCCATGGAAGCCAGGTGCTGCGGGTGCGGCCGCACCTGCGGAAACAGGGGCCTGTGCGGCGGGGGTGGGGCCGTGCTGGCCGGGGGTGGGGCCACGGTGGCCAGGGGCGGGGCCTGCTGCCGCTGCTGTTTCATCTGCTCCTGGAAGGGCAGGAGCCGTGTTAGCAGCCGCCCCCACCCCTACCCCGCCCATCGCGACAGGCTCCCGGGACCGCTCGGGCGCCAGAATCCAAAGGCGCTTAATTAACAGCGGCCGGTCGCAAGGCAGAGAACAAGATGAGACGCTGTGCCCGGTACTCAGGCGACCCCTTAAAGCCGCCGCAGCAGCCACCTCGGCCCGCGGCGGGGCCAAGGCACCACTCGTTCCCACACAGCCGGCCCACGAGCATCACCAAATGGGAAGGGATTTCAGGTGCGGCGCGAGCGCTCGAGAACTCATGGCGAATCCTTTTAGGCCCAAGGAACGCCGTCCGCCACCGCCACCGCCACCGCCACCGCCACCCGCGCGCCCCGCCTTACCTGCTGGCGCTGGAAGCGCGGCGGCAAGGACTTCTGGAACTGCTTAAAGTAGCCAGGGAGCCCGGCGGGCCGCGGCTGCGAGCCCGGCTCGGCCTCGGCCTCCTGCGGCCCCTGGGAGGGCTCTCTGTCACCGCGACTGCTGTCCTGTCTGCTGCAAGTGGCGCCGTCCTCTGCCCAAAACAAAGGGAGAGATGACATGCTCGCCCGTGACAGCGCACGATGTCTGTGCTGGAGTAACTGCACCTACTTATGAGAAAGATCAAGGAAGAAAGCATTGCGATCACTCCCAAACACTGTTTGGCACTCTGATCATGGGAGCCACCCATGCACTGGATGAACAAAACCCTCGATGTCCTCAAGGGTGGAGTCTTAAGAGGGAGGGTATCTCTCCAAAAGCTTCACCACAGTGAGATCCATTCGTGGATTGTTCTGTGATAGTAAAACATTTCAGCCACCACCCATTTTCCATTGTTTCAGTAAACTGTCAATGTTTACTTGTGGTTCACTAGGACTAATGTGAAAATACAAATGGGCTATAAATACTTAGAACACATTGGTTTATCTTATTTTCTTTGATCCAAGTGACTATCATCCATAAACAAAACTAAACAGTCTAAGTCTGATGACACAGAGTGATCATCATATAAATCATCATTCCACGTACAGTGTCAAGTATGATAGACAAAGGGGAAAAACACACATACCAAGAAAAATGTTTTCATTCCAAATAAAACCAGAGCCATAATCACTCTAGAGAATGTCACTTCTCACAATTACAAAGCCAAACTTGTTAAAAATTCTTCTCTCAGAGAACTAGGGATGAATTTTAAAAGGCAATTTGTTTTGCCAACGTAAAACCATGCTGTGAAGAACCACAAATCACATTTTCTTGGCTGCATTATATTCAATATTAATAATTTGTTAAAAAGAAAATAAAATGTTGGAGAGAAAAGAGAACCGAGTAGGCACAACACCTAAAAATCAAACAGGCACATCACACTGATAGACCCAGCTACAATTAAATTGCCATCAGAGAACATACAAATGTGAAAGAGAAACAGAAAGATGTGCCACCAGATACTATTAAAAAGAAAACCGTAATTAACTTACATAGACATAGTCACCACAGACAGTTAAATTATTAATCAGGGTCATCATATGTATTTGTTGGCAAACCCATGACTGGAAATATGAATGCCCTCGTTTCTAACCCACAGTCCCATCTTATTCACCGCCCATGAGAATCCCTCAGGCTGCTCACCAACATCAGGCTATCCACTGCTCTGTATCTCTGGGGGGGGGAGTTTTAACTTATGCATTTATGTTGTAAATTTATGTATAAACACAAAGCAAAATTATAAATAGCTTTACAATATAATTTCAGTGAGCAGAGTCTTCTAGCATGAGTTTGGAAGTCGAAAAGGTTCAGTATTTCTGATTGAGAAATACACTGAAATACAACTATTTCTACTTTAAGTTACTGTCAGGCTGTTCATCAAGACTGACTTTACAAGTTCAGAGGAAAGTTTTACACAGTGTTTTAATTGTGCTAATTAGAGTTTATAAGCAAACCTGGGAAGGAACAGAAAAGCTGGTGAGAGTCAGAAGAGGCTTTCGTTGTGAGTGCAGCTACAGCCCAGCAAGTACACGAACTGCACTGTGGGAGTTTTTACTTTTCAACTGGTAGATATCAAATCTGAAATTATGAGCAGGATGCAGCCATTTAATTATGACTAAATCCAAAATTCCATTTCAACTTAAGGTTTAGGAGTATTAATGCATGTGAATAAATGAGATTTTATGCAATTTTAATGTTTTGGTATCAGAAAAAAGTACAAGAATTGGCACTTGAACTATCAAGTCAACACAATTTTGCCAACAGAAAGAGCAGAAGTTCGACTGAGAAATACTTCAGAGAGGCTTGATTTTCCCTCCACTGAAAAATATAATCCCACTGTCACCCTGAAACCAAATGACCTATTTATTTCAACATCTTTTATCATTAATAAAGAAAAAGAATATCTCTATTCATGTTTTAAGACTGTAAATGCTACCTATGGCACTTTGATGGAAGACACAGGATTCCAGGACGGTGGGAGTAGAAAGACAACAGATTCACTGGCACATCTGTACTAGAACTACTCTGAAACTCTGGAGTCTACTGAAGGCTTCAACAGTAAACTGGTTAATTTCAGTCAACTAGAGCTCTTGGCACAGCTCCAGCTACCCCCGACACCTTGCACTGAAACGCACACTGAGAAAGCAGAAGACTACACATACTTGAAGACAGGAACAAGGGTATCATTAAATATGAGGAACAGACAGAAAAAAAATTGAAGAGAAGTAAATAGAGCCTAAGAGAAATGAAAGACAGATAAAATAAACCAATACACCACACCCGAAGAGGACCAGAAGTGGGACAGAGAAGAGAAAGGGGCAGAGGGAGTATGTGAGTAAATACGGCTAAAAACACCCAAATCTGATGAAAGACATGAATACAAACATCTAAGAAGATCCAAAAGACCCAAACTGAGACACAATATAAACTTTCAAAAGACAAAGAGAAAATCTAGAAAGTGGAAGTAAAAAACACTAAGAAAGGTCACTTAAAAGGATTCCCAGTAATATTATCAGATTTCTCATCAGAAATATTGGAAGCCATGATTCAGTATTCAAAATGTTAAAAAAAAAACAAAAACCCAAAACTATCAACCAAGAATCCTCTATCTGGTAATACTATCCTTCAAATAAGAAGGAGAAATTAAGACATTCACAGATAAAAGCTGAGCAACTTTGTTACAATGAAACCTGCCCTTGTAAGAAATGCTCGAGTCTAGCATGGTTAATGAAGGGCAGTAAGTCAAAGCTTTATGACAAAATGGCAATAAAGGTAAATATCAGCAGTTAAAGAAGTAGTAGTATGTTAACATTGTGTACAACTCTACATTTTTCTATACTCTTTTAAGAAACTAATGCATGTTATAAAATAGAGCAACTATTGTGCCAAAATCTAGTATTACTGTAACTCTGGTTTGTAACTTCATACCTTGTTTTCCATGTACTTTAAACTAATGATTTTAAAAGAATTATTTTATGTTTCTGAGAATGCAATGCATAAAGATGTAATACTGTGATATCAACAACCAAAAAGGGTGGAAATAGAACAGTCAGTCACAGGAACAGGGGCACAGTCTGTGTATGTCACTGAAGTTCAGCTGGTATGAATCCTGAATCACAGTGTTGCATGTTACAGCTTTTTATGTTCTACGTTGTACCTGTTAAATGCAATCCCTATGGCAAAAACAAAGAAAACAGCTAGAGAATATAAACAAGAGGAAATAGGAAAGGAATTGAAAATGTTTCACTACGAAAAAAATCAACAAATAAAAACACAGAAATGCAGGAAATGGCTAAAAGCATATAGAAAATATCAAAATGACAGGAAGAAATTTGTTATAACGAATACTTATTATAAATGTAAATGGATTAAATTGGTCTCCAACCAAAAGGGGACTGAGGATAAAAAAAATTAATCTGACTACAAGCTTTCTGTAAGAAACTCACTTTAGTTCCTAAGACAAAACAGATTAAAAAAGGGAAAAAATAGAATGACAAAATTAGGCCACGGAAAGAGTAACCGAGAGCAAAATGTGGGAGAAGCCTAAGACGGTGGCGCAGAAAGAGCCTGAATCCACCCCCAACACATCCACCAAATCTACACAGACACACAGAGCACTTCCTCCTGAGAAAGAGCTATAGCCTGAGCGAGCTGTGATTCTGCCCGAGGAGGGATGGAAAGAGCACGTAAAAATCAGCAGGAGACAGAGACATGGTAATGGTGGCTATGTCACCCCCAATGCAGCCCTGCATTGGGGAGGAACCAGAACACATATCTGCCTGCCCTGGGGAACAAAAACCCCCACGGTTCAAAGGGGAAACCACATTAAGGGAGGGAAGGTGATTTTCACAACTAAAGCACCAACCAAATGGTGGGAGAACTGCTAGAACTCTCCCCAGGTTCGAAGATGCTGGCAAGCACTGTGTTTACATTCCCACTGCACATGGCTTATGGGGATGGGAGCAGGGTCAGGGTACATATGCCAGCTCCAGACCAAACCAGGGTAGCCTCCTGGCCTCCACCTATGCCCAAACACCCCAGCCTGAGATCCAACAGTCCCACCAAGGTGACACCAGCATGGCATTCATGTGGGTTTACCTGCCATGTCCCTGCTAGCAGTGGCCACCGTGTTAGTACAGCCCCAGCTGGTCCAACGGAGAACCCAGGATCAAGCCCCAACACAGGCCGTGCCTCCAGTGAGCCAGCCTGGGCCAGCCCGAACTGCAGTCTACCTACCAAGGGGACCATTCCTACACACAGACACTCCTTCAAGGCTGGGAGACACAGCCCTTTCACCTAATTTCACAGAAACAAGCACTGAATGTCAAACAAAATTAGGAGACAGAGGAATATGCTGGAAATAAGAGAACAAGCCAGAAAAAGAACAAAATGTACAAAGTTTAAGCAATCTATCTGATGAAGAACTCAAAGTAATAGTTATAAACATGCTCACCAGACTTAATGACTTAGTGAGAACCTGTACAAAGAAACAGAAAATATTAAAAAAAGATAATCAGGGGTCAAGAATATAACAACTGAAATGAAAACTATATTAGAGGGAATCAACAGCAGAGTAGAGGATGAAGAATGGAACAGGGATTTGGAAGACAAGAGTAATGGAAAGCACTTAAGCTGAGCATTAGAAAGAAAAAAGATTAAGAAATTAGGATAGACTGAGGTGTCTCTACCAAGACATCAAACACCCTAACATCATATTATAGGAGTCCCAGATGGAGAAGAGAGTAAGAAAGGGGAGGGAAACTAGTCTGAAGAAGTAACAGCTGAGAACTTTCCAGGCCTGGGGAAGGGAACAGACATGCAGGTCTAGGAGGCACAGAGAGCCCTGAACGAGGTGTCCTCACCAAGGAAGCCCACATAAGACACATAGTGATCAAAATGCTGAACAATAGCTATGAAAAAGAGAGAATCTTAAAAGCAGTGAGAGAAAAGCAATGAGTTACATATAAGGGAAACTCCACAGGCTACCAGCTGATCTTACAGCAGAAACTCTACAGAGCAGAAAGGAGGGGCATGATACACTCAAGAGCGCTGAAAGGAAAACCCTACAACAGGAGAGCACTCTACACAGGAAGGTTTTTGTTCAGGCTGATGAAGAGACAAAGAGCCTCTCAGATAAACACATTAAAGCAGTTCACCACTAAACCAGCCTTACATGAAATGCTAGGGGGACCTCTTTAAAGGGGAGCAGGGACAGCCAATAAAAAAGGCCATAACTAGAATTAAGAAAATCATGTAAAAAAAATGGCCACTGGCAAAGCAACAAAGGTAGCAGACCCAGTATGAGGGTGAAATGATGAAACCAGGCAAATCAGTGATTCTAAAAATCAGTTTAGGGACTTTCAAAGAGTACAAAAGAAGACACCATATACATAAAACACAGGGGGGGGCGGGGAGGAGTAAAAACACAGTGGGGTTAAAAAGTGTTTGAACATAAGTAACAACCAACTTAACAAACATGGCTATACACATAGGACTTTAACATATGAACCCTGAGATAACCATAAACCAAGAACCTGCAACAGACACACACAAAACAAAGTGAAAGGAATCTTCCAATAACACTGAAGAAAGCCATTATGCACAGGAAGAGAGCCAGAGAAGAACACAGGACTCGGGAGGAACGACAGAAGCCACAAGACACCAGAGTTCAGCTACACAGCAGCAACTGCTTTAAAGGTGAGTGGACTAAATGCTCCAACAGACAGGGTGACCGAATGCATACAAATACAATGCTCATCTCTATGCTGCCTATAAGAGACCCACTCCACACCTGAAGACACACACAAATTGAAGGGACGGACAGAGATACTCTATGCAAACAGAGAAAAAAAAAAGCTGGAGTAGCAGTACTTACATCAGACAAACAGACCTTAAAATATAGAAAGACCATAACAAGAGACAAAGAAGGACATTATATAATGATTAAGGGCTCAATCCAGCAAGAAGATTCAACAACAATAACTACACACCCAACAGAGGAGGACCAAAATGTCTACAGCAAGTACTAACATACCTAAAGGGAGAGATCGACAATAACACAGTAATAATAGCTGCCCTTAACACCCTACTTACATCAATGTGAAGATCAGTAAGAGAATTCAAAGGACACAGTGATTCTGGACAGCACATTAGATCAAATGGAATAGATACACAGAACATTGCATCCAAAAACAGCAGAATACACGTAATTTTTAACTGCACATGTAAAATTCTCCGTGAGCCCTGAAATAAGCCATCATATATATGGTTGAATGATTTTTGACAAAGGTGCCAAGGGCATTCAGTGGGGGAAAGGGCAGTCTTTTCAACAAATGGTACAGAAAAACTGGACATCCACATGCAAAAGAATTAATTAAGTTAGACGCTTAATGCCTAACACAATATATAAAACTTGACTCAAATTATGTCCAAGACCTAAATTTAAGTCATAAAACTAAAAATTCTTAGAAGAAAAGCTTCATGACACTGAATTTGGCAGATTTCTTAGACGTGATACCGAAGGGGAGGCAACAAAAGATTGGACCAATTAAGACTTCATAACATTTTTAAAGTTTTATGTATCAAAAGAATGCCCAGAGTGAAAAGGCAACCTATGGGACTGACAGAGAAAATTAACACATGTTTTATCTCATAAAAGATTAATATTCAGAATATACAGCCAACTCAAAAAAAAAAAGAAAAGAATATACAGCCAACTCCTCAAAACAATAATCTGCTTCAAAAAAGAGCAAAGGACCTGAACAGACATTTTGCCAAAGTTGAACAAATGGCCAAAATACACCCAAAAAAGACACTCAGTATCACTGATCACTAGGAAAGTACAACTAAAAACTACAAAGTGTACTACCTCACCCCGAGTAGGTTAGTTTCTACTAAAAAGAGCAGAAAATAACAAGTGTTGATGAGGACGTGGAGCACTTGGAACCCTTGTGCACTACTGGTGGGAAATGGTACAGTTGCTGTGAAAACCAGTATGGTGGTTCTTCAAAAAATTAATGGAATTACAATATGATCCAGAAATTCCACTTCTAGGTATATACTCAAAAGAAATGAAAGCAGGGTCCCAAAGTATCTGTACATTCACATTCACAGCAACATTTTCAAATCAGGTAAAATATGGAATGAATCCAAGTGTTCATCAACAGAAGCATGTATAAGCAAATGTGGTATATATGTATGCTGGGTTATGAGCCTTAAAAAGGAAGAAAATATGGATACATATTGGATGAATAAAATATGGATGAACCTTGAAGACAGTAAGCTAAGTGAAATAAGACAGTCACAAAAAGACAAACACTGTATGATTCCACTTAAATGAGGCACTGAGAATTATCAAAACTATAGATGGCAAAGCAAGGAGATGGTGTTTGCAGGGGCTGGTGGCTGAAGAGGGAGTCATTTAACCAGTCCTAGCGACTCAGCTCAAAGATGAAAGAGCTGTGGGGACAGACGGCGGTGCAGGTCACACATTATGAACATATTTAACACTACTGTACTATGAACCTAAAAATGGTCAAGACGCTAAATTTTATGTTACACAGTAAGAAGTTTCTCGTGCGCTTATGTAGGAACAAACAAGACTGTCATACCTTTATTACAGTTGTTTTCAATTCCTGGTCTTTCTACCACAGGCTGTGAAGTAGGTTCTTTGTGTTCAGTTTCCTCCTCCACTTTCTCCTCCTCTTTCTTCTCCAACTCACACCCCTTTTCTTGTTCTTTCTCCTTTTCCTGCTGCTGTTCCAGTTCTTTTTGTTTCTCCTGTATTTTGTCCTTCTCCACCTCTCCTGGTTCTCCCTGCTCCCTCTCCAGTTCTCTCTCTCTCTCCTGTGGCTCTTCCCTCTCTTTTTCCCCCTCCTCCTTTCGCTCCTGTTCTTGTTCCTGTTCAAGTTCCTTCTCCCGCTCCTGTTCTCTCGTTTCCTCTGGAGGTGGCTGTTTGTCCACCAGGCCCAGCTTTTCATCCAGTCTTTTCAGTTTCTCTGCGCACGCTGCCTTCCGTCGCTCCTCCATCCTTCGCTCCTCCTCTTCACGCCGCCTGCGAGCACGCTCCACTGCTGCAGAAAGTTCTGACTGCTGTTTTCTTCTTTGCTTCCAGATTTCGTCTTCATCTGGGACCTGCTGCTTTGGGGGGAGAGGACCTGGTCTTCCAGGCAGTGCCTGCCGGTCTGGAGGAGGGTGCTGAAACATCAAGGGAGATCAGCGGATGAGTACGACAGATCTACTTCTGACCAACACTGGGTATCACGGGCATGGAGAGGAAGGGAAAAACGCTACAAAATGTCGGGATTTTCCTGGTTAAACTTACACATTAAAATAAAAACAAGTAACATGGGGAAAATAATAAGTCTAGATAATTGCTCAAACTTAGACTCAAACAATTACTCCAGCCATCTAATATTTACTGAACAGGTACCTACTTATAGTGCCAGACACTGCTGCTCATTGAGTATTTGCTGAATATAATTAGATGTCACAACATGAATTTCAAAGTCTAAATTTAGAGAGGAAGTCCACTTAGAATATGAGTGCTTTAGCAGCAACTGTCAGAAATGCAGTGCCTGTGGAGGGAGAAAAGAAACCCATCCAGATGCAAAGTGGCACCACATGGTCCCTGAGCAGATGAAGGAAATGCAGGCAGCCCAGGCAGCTACGTGAAGATGGAAGCACTGCTGCTGACACTCCAGAAAAGAAGACTCCTAGAAGTCAGCTGAGCAAAGAGCTATCTCTGAAATGAAAGTTCAAGAAAGGCTTATCTAGAACCCATAGTGGAGCATGGGAGGATCACCCAAGGCCTGAGTTTTAATGATTTAATCTTCAATTCACGTATCCTAAAACCTCATCTGGTGGAGATGAGTGATGGCTGTGGTACAGGCACCTGTCTGTACAGGCACCTGAACAGGTGGTCAGGGAAGGCCTCTGGAGTGGTAATATCTGAGCAGAGAACTTAGTCATAGGAAGAGTCTTCAGTCTGAAAAAAACAGCAAATAAAATGTCTTGAGGATGAAAAAAAAAATGACAATGAAGATTGTGTGGTGAAAACAGAGAGAGAAGATGAAATCAGAGTAGACAGAGACCATAAAGGCCTTGCTCTGGGCTAACGCCCTGAAGACCCGAGCAAGGAACGATGGACTCAATGTGAACGTAAGAGACCTAAAACATAAAGGTTTTAGAATGACTGACCAATTAAACAGTTTTTATATCTACTGCAGGAGGATCTCAGACGGAGCAGCAGACGAGCAGCAAGAGAGGAAAGCAACAAGGCCTGCCAAGAAGCTGCCAACACCTAAACATCAGTCTAAGAGACACAGAAGGAATACAAATTGAAGAACAGAAAAGAGCAAAATAGTATGATATCTCAAAAACTATGCCAACTTCTGTTTTGATTAAGTGAAACAAAGGTAAGAGAACTGATTTGGCAACATGAAGTCAATCCTGACCTGGACAATAAGTTTCAGAGATACAGTGGGAATAAAGGATAACTGGAGAGGGTTAAGGTAAGCAAAAAGAGTAAGTTTAAGAGGCTCACCAAAACAGTTTGCTGTGAAGAGGAAGAGAGAAACGGAGTAAACTCCAGCAGGATGTAGGGCTGTGGGAGTTAAAGGAGGACTGGTTTTTTAGCAAATTTTTAAAGATGAGACATAGTATTACTAGTAAAAGACAGAAAATGGGATCCAGGAAACAAATAGAAGGGCTGCCCTTAGTAGCAAGGACAACAGGAAGGAAGTTAGGACAGGAAGGGCACTGAAGTAGAAAGAACAGATGCTTCTTATTTTCTTAGTGAAATGAGAAGTGTGCTCATCAGCTAAGAATGAAGGTAGACAGGATAAAGAGGAAGATATTCAGGAGCAAGGAGAAAAGTCCATAAGCGTTTCATAAAAATAGAGAACCTTTCCATTAAAACAAAGTCAAATAATACATACATAGATGATTAACCAGTATTCAGTAAGATTTACCTGCTGGGCAAGCAACTTTGGAGGTGGCAGCAGGTGTGAAGACGGTCCACGTTCCTATTACAAATAAAAGGATTGTTAACAAAATAATCAGTTAAGATAAAAGCTATCTACTGAAAATATTTCTGAATGTATGAGTCTTTTCAGTGACACTGCAAGACTGCAGTAAGTAAACTATATTTAATATTTTTAAAGTATACCACCCACTACAAGATAACTTTACATTGTATAGAATCACTGCCATTTCAGCAAGGCTAGACTCTCAAACAAAAAATTGAAACAGGAGAATTTTAGTGTATAAATTCTGGAATTCTAACCCAGGTAATCTGGCTGCAGAGACATAATGTCTCTAATTTTAAATTTTTATTTATGGAAGCCCAATTTTTTTTCTGGAATTTTTTTTGTAATGGCAAACTAAAACTATGAGATTTACCTAAAAAAAAAAAAAGTACAAACATCTAAAACATATTGGAACACATATCATGTATGTAACTTCACTTGTAATATATACATTAGTGTCACACACACACACACCAAACCAAGACATCAAGATATGGTGTACAAAATTCTTCCATTCTTTCATGAAGAAAGGTATTATCATTCCACATTATTCCAGGAAGTTGAGTCATGCAGAAGATGGATTTTATTAAAAAAATAATATTTAAAAATTTTCTTTTAAAAGAGTTCACCAGTGAATTCTCTAATGGCTACCCAATGCCTCAAGAATAAAATTCAACCTTTTTTTACATAGCATACAAAACTTGACTGGTTTTTACTTAGCTCTCTCGTATCAAAGTCCTTACATCCTCTCCTACATCAAACTACTGGGGACTTCTTGAATGTGCGTGCTTTCCCCACTTCACTTCTCTACTCTGAACACATCCCCACTGCTTGGAATCACCCTCTCCCCTTTGTTTACTGGCTAATTCCTGCTTTAAGTACCATGTCTTTTGCAAAACCTTTCCCACGGAATTCCACAGTACCTATTTTGTGCACTCGGTCACAGAACAGAACACACTGGAATTCTGATACTTGCTGCATCTTCTTTTCGGAGAATGTCAGCTACCTACTTTTACCTCCACAGAGACTGGTTCCTCCACCTGGTTTGTATGAATTCAGCAAATGCATGCTGAATACTCCATGAGTTAAGTGGGCTCCAAAAAGAAGCCCTTCCTTATTCCCAGTGTGCAATACAGCTTGCCTGTTACCTTAGTAGGATAAAGCATACCCCACTGCATCATTTCCCTTTAACAATGTTCTTTAAAATGGCTCAGACTTGTAGATTTCTCTACTACCTATGTGTGACCTCCCTACTCAGCACACAATTTCACAAACAAATACTGCCTGTGATTTACAAAGTGTTCAGTGAACTATAAATCACTTCAGCAAAGCTAATTTGGGAAAACAATTTATCCCTCCACTTTGATACGACTGAGTGGTTGCAAGAGAAAAAAGTGAAGCTTCAGTTTCTACTTGATACCTTTAGCTACTGCACTGATATTTTCTCAATATGCAAAAAAATTATGGCTTAGATGTAGAGCTATGCAAGAAGAAATATACAGTTCCCTTTGCGAAAATGTTCTTCCAATTCTGTGACTGTAAGATTAATTCATCCACAGTATCAGTAGTGATACGGGGCTCCTTGAGTTCAACAAACCTGATTAAACGGAGGTCCTTTCCCATAAGGACCCTTTGCTACTGATGGCTGGGCAGGTATCTGAGATGATGACTTGGTGTTACAAACTTCATCTGCTTCTTGTCTGTTTCCAGTGTTTTCAGAGACTTTTGAACCTTGATCCTCACTGAAGAATCAAAATCCAGGTGACATAAAAATGTGAAGTGGACTGTACCATAAATAAAAGCATTTTCTCTATGTAAAAAAGGCATTATTTCCACATGGTTTCAGGGAAAAACTGTGTCAGGGAGTGAGACAGTTTTGTGACCTAGTGGTGATCATTCATTCATTAAGTACACACCATGTATCCGTAATGAGTTGGGGACTGGCCACAAGGCGGACATGCAATGCAGCGGCTGTCCACTACAGACACTCACACCTGACACAACCTGGGCAAAGGAACACAGCACCACCGCCTCGCATCGCCCCCATCCAAAAGGTCTCATGTGAATGCAGCTGAGTAACAGCAGAGGTGATTAGTAACTGTATTCTAGTTGATGCTAATTTAATGAAAAAGATACATCAAACTACGTAATTTTTAAAAATCACAACACATTACAGGCACCTCGTAACTGATAATGAAACAGTGGATTACAATGCCACAGCTGAAACCTGTATCAGTAGGTAGTACGTAAACTGTGTTTTTTGGGGAGGTATAACTGACCATATGCTATTTCTTTCAGGTGTACTTCGTAATGATTCAATACTTTTTATACATTAGGAAATGATCTCCATGGTAAGTCTCGCTACTGTCTCTCACCGCTTCCGTTTATTTTTTGAGAGAGCCTAACTTTTATTGCTCATAACCCATCTATTACTGATTCTGATGTCCTTATATTCCCCAACAAAGAAATGAGATAAAAAACTCCCATTCCCCAGGACCTTAAAGTTGCAAAGTTTAAATAATCAGACTTGAAGCAGCTATAGCAACCCAAGTAATTTTTCTCCGATTTTTTAAATATGGATCAGGTCAAGAAAGTAAAATTTTAAACGGTCCCTCATACTACCTTTTAAATTATCTTTAATTAGATGGCAAGCATCTAAACATCTTTTTTAAAGTACGTACTTTCTTTAAAAACATCAAACTTTAATCCCTTTTAAATCTGGCTTTAACTTTTAAACGTCGCTCATTAATCACCTTCCCACCCAGGAAGAGTCCTGGGAGTAGAATGCGGAAGTTCCACCAGTAAGGAACAAAGAGATGCCTCTTAGCTGAAGCCCCTGCACAAATGGCCGATGTCATCCGTGGCAGCACTGACTCACCCGTTCTCCTTAGGGCTGCTGCTCCCTTGCTCATCGTCATCACTGAAATTCAGCTGCTCTGTGTAATCTACTTCCATCTGAGCACCTATTCAATTAAGGAAAACTGAGACTGACTGTTCAAAGGCATCTAAACACTGAGAGCCCTGCGCTGCCCGTGCCTCTCACCTGCCCAGCCTTCGTCAGCTTCGGCATCCAGGTTATCGAACTTGTCGAGCTCCTTCAGTTCTGAGGCACTGAGGATGGAGGGGCGCTCAGGCTCCGCAGCCCACGGAGGGGGTGGGCCTCTTCCCCGAGGGCCTCTGGCAGATGAGGGGTGATGGGGGGAAGGAGCCAGAGTCTTAATGACACTCAGTCAGGAAAATACTAGAAGACTGGAATCAGTCCATTTCCACTCAGCATCAGTGGTTTATACACCACAGTGTACAAAATACTTTGCACCTGACATACATACTAAGAAATTATAATATCAATACATAAATTTAGAATAGTAATATAATCATTACACAAGTATTCAGTAGCAAAAATTTTTTGATTACCAAAGATTTAAAATAAAACAAATACATGTTAAAAGACCATATGGCTAAAATGAATACTAATCTCAAAACAAACTATACGAAAAACCACCATTCTGGAGGATCCTCAAGTCTTAAGCAAAAAGAGAATGGAGAGTCACCCACATTGTTGAAGGAAGAAAAGATAAACAAGCCTCAATTTTTAACGCTGTGATTTTCAGTTTTCAGCATTTTGTAACAATTAATTTAGAGTACTTAGAAGAATGAAGCATTTCCATCTTCCAAAATTCAGTGAATTATTTGCTACTGGCAATTGTACTTTAAGGACAGAATATTCAATCAATAACCACAATCCACTCAGCCTCCAGAAAATCTGAATAAGCACGCATGTCTTACAGACTTTAATCATTTAACAGTCTTACTTGTTTGCTTCAGATACAGACGGTGGAAACCTCATGGGACCATGTAGAGGTGGGTACGCCATCCTCGGATACTGCTGAAACATCTGAATGGAGGAAACAAAATCTGATAAACTTATCAAACCAGTTATAAAAAGAAATGATTATCCTGAGGAAGCACGCAAAGGGGTCTATCCTCTCTCTCCCCCCCAGCGCTGGGCTTATATCCTTTCTATTGGCAAAGTCCTTTGGCTTGATTCTTTCCTCTTTAGGTTTATATTGAGAAGAGGTCAGCTTCTGCAGTTTATTTGGCTTTATTGGCAAAGATAACATGTTTTTCCAGCAATGTTTCAGCTAGATATTTGCTTTATGTTACATAATGTCAATGAGGTACCAACAAGTTTTCAGGAAATGAGAGAGAATCCACTATATATAGTCTACATATTTAACTTTGGTCATCTGTTTTAATTGACAGATTAAAACTCTGTTAACAAAGACATGTAGTCATCATGTGAAGAATAAGTCTGTAGTGGAGGGGAAGATTTAATAATGTGGTAACTGTTGAACAGACATGTTGCACACTTAAAACTAGCATAAGATTGTATATCAACCATATTTCAATTAAAAGTGAAGTTGCATTAATAAAAAAAAAAAGAAATGATCATCCTAAGCCTCAAACTATGATTTGTAGAAAGAATGAATAAAACAAACAGTACTATGAATACTTAATTTTATCTCTTGGTATATAGACCCTCATTCACCCTCAGTAACAAGCCATTTGTAAGGCTCTTGCCTCTACCAAGCCTTTACAAATAAAGGTAGTAACCAGGGCACATATGAAGAACTTCTTATCTCATTAACAGAATTACACAGAAATGATCATGTAATGAAATGAAAAACTAAAAAAGACAGTATCCATGCATCTCAGAAAACTGCAAAGCCTTAACCAAGCTCAAATACTTGAAAGGAAATAATGGGAGGCTTCATCCTCATGCAGGAGATTAACTTCCAGAAGGCAGAATGGTTGGTAAAGAACTCAGTTCAGATAGAAGAAAAGGACAGTCTATAACTCAAGGGAGTGAAGGAGAAGGTGGGTAAGGAGCTACTGGAGATTTCCTATGGGTAGGGCAGAAGTGCATTCTGCATCAAGTTATGACACAGATGGTGATTAGAAACTGAGGCCCAGAGATGATTGACGCTTTTCATGGGAACCTGGCTTTGAGAAGCTAAGTTTAGAAGAAGTTGTAAGATAGATTATGAAGATAAATAACACTACCAAGGGATTTATCCTGTGATTTGGAGGGGAAGAGATGTCAAGAACGGCTTGGTTATTTACTATTTGCTTATAGGTCTAATTAGGTTAAGAAAATGTATTACATTAAATGCATAATTTTTATCTATATAGATTAGTTTTTCTTGAAAAAAAAAACCTGTTAGATGAGAAAATTGTTTTATGGTTGAAAAAAGGCTGTATTTATATGATCATGCTGTGTAAAGTAATTTCTAAGTAGGGTTAGAGAAAAGTTTAAGGTAAGCAGCAGCTGAAAATCAACTGGGGGAGTTTTTGGGGAATGCTCTGAAGAATTTTCAGTTGTATCACAGTTCTGTACTGAGGTTAGCAAAGACACTACTGGAGGCAAATTCTCAGGGGTAACACTGCATTAGATCTTCTGATTATGGCATAGAGATTAATTTTGTACGCTTATTAAATGTTTAACACTTAGGAATTTGACACAAAACTGTAGAAACATATTTTAAGTTATCAACGTAATAGTGGTGTTCTTTAAAATGTTTTGTTTCTGTTAAAAAGAATAGAAAGTATGAAAAGAAGAAATAAGGATATTTAGAGCTTGGATACTTAGGAGCTAAATTATAAGAAAAATGAATAAATATTTAAGAACTAGACTCTTCTTCCTTTGAAATGAATGGTCTCCTAAAAAATGTAAATTTATTTACTTGGTCTCATGTAACTCGACGTAATTTCACAGTAGGCTGACAGCAAACAAATGAAAGAGGGCACCAAATCAAACTACTAATTCATAGGAAATATGTGGGTAGAAGAATATCTTAAACAAAACCACAAAGATGAAATCAGTAAAATACAGACTCTGAGAAACTCCAGAGGATAAGAAATAAATTGTAACAGATAAGCTCCAAAGAAATAAAGAGATGGGGGTAAAGAGGTAGCCACAATAGCTAGATTTCTAAGAGAAACAGCAACCAATCTCAAGGAATAGACATTATCTGGATTGTAATTATGAGACAATCACGAAAACTGTAATACTGATTTAATATTCTGAAAAGAAGTTTTGTTTTAGGCATGATAATGGCTTGTGGATTTTTCCCCTCAACTTTGTCTCTTAGCATACAACCTAAATACACATGGATGAGGTGACCTGTCCAGGGTTTGCTTTAGTGATCCAGGGTGGTGGGAAAGGGGTAACACAGATCGACCACAAACTAATAACCCCAAGATGGATGGTAGATATGGGAAGAGAGAGGTTTAGTGTACTATTATTTCAATTTTTGCATATACTTAAAATATCCCATAATGAAAAGTCAAGGAACAGGAAAGCTACATATAGTAATAAAAATTTTAGAACTAAATCAAGTATTAACCCTTTTGGTGCCATGAATAATCCTTTGGCAGTCTGGTTAAGTCCTATAGACCTTGTCTCATAGAAATGTTTTTAAATCAGTAATTTGAAATACAGAGTATTATAAAGGAAAACAATTTACTGAATTTGTTACCATAATATTTAAAAAACAAATTTTTGATATGGCAATGTATGTGCATCTTTATTAGGTCACTATTAACAAGTGGGTCTGCCCGTGGGTTTAATACCTATTTCGAAGTAATGCTAAGTATAAACAGTATTTTGCAATATCCAAAACAATGTAAGGTGGAATAAAAACACCCATGATCCTTATTAATGATATGCACACAAGTACTGTTGACACTCCTACGCCTTGTTTCCTACACTCACCATCAAAGAAAATGCTAACTTTTAGTCAGATGTTAATGAAAGTAACATAAATAAGAGAGACCCAAACTTTTTCCCATCCTAAGTCTCTCCCTAAATACAGATGGAGAGCCTCTCATTCAGTCCCTCGTTGGGCCACCAGTACTCACATATGGAGGCATCATGGCCCTGTACTGGGAGGCAAGGGCAGGCTGCTGTCCATTCACTTTAGCATGTGGAGGGCCACAGGCCACCCTCTTTTCTACCACCTTGAGGAGGTCACTTTGCTCTGATGTCCCAGCTGCACTGTCCTCCTGGACAGGGAGCTTTGCTTCTTGGTCAGATGGTGAAGGCGAGCCAACAGTCTTGCCACCGTCTCTCCAACAAGCAACATCTGGTTGGAGGTCAGAGAGAAGTTAAGAACAGAAAATCTGAAAATGACACAGTAAAACCAAACTAGGTACATTTCCAGAAAATGCAAGCAAGTGGCAAGCAAAGTGCAGGGCGCTGGATGGTGAGTCTGGGCCCCACCGAGGCTTTCAGGTGTCCGTGCAGCCAAGAGCAGCAGCTTTGGGTGCAGCCAAGAACAAAGATGGGTGGGGTGCAAGCATCAGGGTGGCCCGTCAGGCCTGACCACAAGCTGACACAGCCAAGGCGTACAGACCGAAGTGGGGCTGACAGTGGGTGGCACGCTCCCCCTCTGTCACTGCTGGTTACATGTGCCCACACAGGAGCACTTAGCTACCATGTCACCTGTTCAACCACATGGAACAGCAAAACCGGCAAACCGTTTTACAAGGAAGCTCTGTTTGGCAGGTAGCCTCCAAGCTGGCCTGAGTGGTCTCTACCTCCTGCTACTCACACCTGCGTGGCCCCCTCACACTGGGCCAGAATCGGTCAGCCTGCGTAACCTGTAGTAAGGAAGAAGTGACGGCATGCCTATTCCCAGATTGTGCTTCCACCGTGGGTGGGAGATGGCTGTCTCTCCCTCCATCGCTATCTTTTCTGTGTCATGAGCAGCCCAAGAGAGCCACCATGAGTAAGCTTGGGAGAGCAGCCCGAGTCAGGTCAGCATCTGATGACAGATTTACTGCAACTGTTGAGAATTCCTGAGCAAAAACCCCCAGCTAAGCAGCTCCCAGATTCCTGACTCTCAGATACTGTGTGAAACTGCAAATCCAGTTCAGTTTGTTGCTTTAAGCTGGCAAATTTGTTACGCAGAATTAACTGGTAACAATTAAGTGAACAAGAAAAGAGGAGATGCCTCTATTCCCAATTTATTAACCACATTATAGCAATTAAAAACTTAAAAAAAGATAATTTACCCAGACCTGATGAGAAATAAGCCAAAAGAAGTATGAAATGTATTAAGTTATCAGAAATATGGATTTGTAACCATTACTGTGAAGAAGAACCTCCCCATATGTACAGGGTCCTTTCAGATACCTGGTAATGACAGTATGAAGCTAATACAATTAATAAGATATTTAAGAATTTCTCCAAGATTTTATATTTCTAGTTTTAGTTTGTGCCTTATGATTTCCATAATGCAGGTTTCTCTCACTATCCAAGTTGATTTGGTTCCTTGGTTTGAGTCCAGAAAGCAAGGGCTCCCTGGACACTAATAGAACAGCAAAGAGATGGTTATAAATTTATAAATAAATAGTTGCATATTGGGGAGGTTTGCTCAAAAAAATCTTACTATTATAAAAATGGCCACATATTAATATGCATTTATGTCATATAGGCATCTTGTTAAATTGCAGGTCTCTGATTTAATGAGGCCCCGCACACACTTCCAACAAGTTCTCAACTTTATTGATGCCGTTCATGTAAGAAAAACCCTGCACTTGATTGGCAAGCAACTAGTTACTATCTAAACTAGGCAAGCCATGCACAGAACAGGATCAGGCAGGACGTTGCATCAGAAGACAAAACACAACATAATCTCATTCTGTGCTTTTATTGAATCAAAGTACTCTTACTTGGTGGACGCAAACTGGGTCCAGGTCCATAGTTGTCCTCATTTGCTTCTTTTTCTTTTTTTTCCTGATCTCCAGCTGCCTGCAGACTGGGAAATTCTTGCTGAAAATGACTATTCACCTGGATTCCTATAAATTTTTCATAAAACATTAAATGTAACTTCTATACTGAAAATAATTTTAAAGATCCTCCCAGGATAGAGCTCTCTGCCCTTTTCTAATAAATTATTCCACATTTCAGTGACTACTCATATTCAGACAACTTTTAAATTTATCTAGAATGAGAATCCCTGAAAGTTAATGAACAGCCATGAGGAAACAGAAATTTAAGAAAGGAATCTGCAAAGGACTGCTCCAGAGGACGACTAAAGATGAGGAGGAAAGCGGGGGGACTTTGGCTTCTGTCTCTCCTTTATTAGGACTCCTTACGTTTCCAACACAAGTCAAACTGCCCTGCTAATAACTTTTAACAATCAGATTGGTCAGTGATGTGAAGAAAACAGAATATATGAAAAAACACTGCAAGGACCAGGGTGAGTCTAAAATGCCTTCGTTTAATTTACTGTTTTCATTTAGCATATACGGCCGAGATACTGACTGTACCGCACTGTTCACCCACTAACCCACCCACCCTGCCCACCTGTTTATTTTTATATTTCAAGAAATTAAAAGAGCTGAATGACAGCCTACGTGGGGTTTTCCATACAATGTTTTATAGACGTTTTCTGTTCTGCAAGTGGGAAATTAAATTTTGCTGGGGAGTCCCTTATTCCCGCAGGGCGTCACAGAGAATTACAGCTCCAATGCTTCACGGCTCCTCTCCAGTTCTTCTCTTACCATGGACATCACGAGCAGCAAGTTTGAAACAGAAGAGGTTGGGGGGCACAGATGGGATGAGCATGGTTTCTAGCAATTTACACAATGTCTGGGTACTTTTATGTCTCACAGAGCTGAAGGCACAGGTTTTGTCTGGTCTGAAAGACTCCTTTTTAAATTCCTATCAATAGCTCACACGTGGCTTTTGAACCAAACCTTAACTAGCCCACAAGACTAAAAGACACTTCATACCCTCTGACGATGTTACGCGCCCCTGCCAGAACACAACCGTCCACCCCTTATCTCCACCAAGCCTAACCAGTGTCCCCAGCTCATGTCCACTTACCATCTCCTTGCCCACCTTGCTTGTTACTGGCCCACGATTTGGGAGCAGGTGCTACTTCTGGGGAAGCCACAACCCCAGGTGGTTTTGGCTGTGCTGCTGGGACTTCTGGTGTTCTTAAAAAAATATGAATCCATTATCTCAGATATTGCATGTTTAAATAAAATAACTTCTGTATTTAAGGCAAACCTGTGTGCAAATTATTTTGGCTATGTATTTACTCATAAATGCACTCCCCACAAACGTTTTCCCTCTCCAACATTCCTTTAAACAAACTACAGCTATTTCATTCCCTTTCATTTCTATGTTTGAGTAACCCAAGAACCACTTAGGTTTTTTCATTTTGTAAAAAAAAAAAAAACTAATCACTGAACATGGCTATCAAAAGCCTGTTTTGTAGAAGTGAACACTGGTAACTAGAAATAACGTTATAGACATACATCCTGTCTGGACTGGTAGGATGAGCCAGGGGCTAAGGCTAAGCAAACTCTCCATTAGCCAGTCGACAGGTACACCACTGTGCCTGTTACCGCTATTCAAGAGGTTAACAACAACCTGCCAATGCATCCCCATGAATAAAAGGTGTTTTAAAAGGGTCTACAGCTCTATTCAGTATTTGTGATGAGTTAATGTTTAAAACAAAAAAGGCAGTTAAGAGATTTAAGAAATGCAATGTTTCTAGCACACTCAGCTGGAACTGACTTGCTAGTACAAAAGAGTTGTACAAACAAGCAGCAAAGAACACTAAGTCTTTGATAAGCTTTACCCAGGTAGTCACATTTACTGTATACAGCTCCTCAATCAGCAGTACAGAAATTTGGTAACAGACATAGGCAAAAAGCAGCAAGCATATAACTGCTTATTTTTTTAAATTATCACTATTTAACTTGGTCATTCAATAAACTAAGCCCCGCACAATCCTTGATACCTAAAGTGCTATACATTCGCTGAATGGATGATAACTAAGAAGGACAGTATTAGTTCTGACTCAGCTTTCTTTGTAATTCTTTATTCATTCAAAATTACTTGAGCACCAATGACATGCATGAGGCAAAGATTCAGTGAACCAGGAAGACAGAAACTCTCAGCATCATGCAAGTAATAGAATCAATTCTTATCAATCATTTTCAAAAGAGAATGCCTGACACAGTTTATAAGACATTACGATTAACAACTGTCATCTGTTCACCATGACATATGGAAATACTGCCGCGAAACCACTTGTGAAAGAGCAATCACAAGCTCACACGACAACTGTAAAAGGCGCGAGATGCGTGCATTCACAGCACACTGAGCACACAGGAGGGACTCAAGCATGAGTGCCCTGCAAAGAAAGGGGAGAGGGTCCACTCTTCAGCTGCTCACTCACTTTTCTTCTTCATGCTGCTCCTGTTTTGATGCCCATCCTGTGCCATCTTTAGGTACAATGTTCACATTAGGATCATTGCCTTTGTTTTCTGCTTTGAGACTTGGGAGGTTAGCAGGTGGAGGCATACGCCGTGAAATACCGACTTTTCCAAGACTCTGTAATCCATGTCGAGCTGCAACTGACGATCAATAACATCAACTTTCTTAGAACATCTATTTTATTACCCATTTTATTCTTAAAACAACATAGAGAAACAACAGGAATTAATCTTGAACTATTCTCTTTAATATTTTAAATTTTAAAATAAGTCACACACTAGCAACATAATCCAATGTATAAATAATATTAAAATAAACTATCAAGCTATTGAACAGATACTTCAGAAATTCTAACAATGCAACCCTACACTCCACCAAAGGAAAGCAAATGACAGGGCTGGTTTTGTAATTTCTCAGGGAATCTATTTCAAACTCAAAACTGAGTATGTTGAGAATAAATATGCTGACTTTTATGCTCATAATGAACAGTGCCAATGTACCGTTTCACTTTTTACTGTAAACACTGGGTCCAAGGTGTCAAAACAAACCAAACCCCAGGACTCAACCCTGTGACTAAGCATGGTATTCAGTGCCCAGCAACACATAGCTGTATGCCTACCAAACTCATAGACTACTTTTGGAAACCACAAGTTCTACTTATTTTCTATTGACAGCAAACAGGGGGGGAAAAAAAGTATTTAAAAATATATGTACATACATCCAACTGTAAGATACTTGATTCGTATACCCTGAGAAATGTGTATATACATAGCAGCCCACACAGACAGGGGTTGCACCCCATGGGTCTGGTGTCCCCCTCAGGGCAGCAACCCTGGTGTGCCATTTACAGTAACAAAGCCATCAAAATCACAAATGCCCCTTGATTTACTCACCTGTGGTTTTCTGAGTTTCTAATGATTTACCCTTGTAAGTATTAAACAAACTGAGAGTTGCATACTTTTTCCCATCCTTTGCTTTTGTGCTCTGGCCTGACTTCTCCGACATTTCAGTGGAAACTCATCGAGTCCAAAACCTCCTGCCACACCCCTTAAAACCAGTCTTGAGGATGCACATAAGAAAGAGAAATGAGAAAAACTTTAGATTTATTGGCTTACTTTAAAAAACTCAAAAAAATGCTCATAGAAATTCTGAAGAACAAGAAGACTGAGAAAAGAAACTAAACTTCAATAACTCATATATAAATAATAATTTCATTAAAACCTGTTTAACACTGTCAAATTCCACCAAACAAATTCCAACACAACAAAATTAATCAGAAGAAACTACCATGTACTCCATGATATATTAATCATTTATGGCTTGTCACCAACTAACTTTTTCATAGAGAATAAGGGTTTTAGTCCATTCTGAGATAAACAGTTCACATAGTGAATCTACAGAAGCATCTCTATTTAATAAACACATATTCAATTTGATAGGTGTGAGATGACCGGCATGAGCTTGCCCATATGGAACACAACCATGACAGAAGGGCGACATCACCCCCTACAAGCTGCACGCCTGTGTTTTCAGGCAGTACATGTCTAACAAAGTTTTATTAATTTAACAGTTTAGAATGGAAAGAACATTTCTATTTCTTCTGCATTCTGCAGTAAGTAGAACATTTCTTCACAAACCCACAGTACATAAAAAACATTTTCTATTTAATGACTACAAATTAAGTGTTCAAGACATGGTGTGCACTCGTCCAAGCAAGTCTTTGTAAATCTGAGAAGCTATCAGGAGTAAATAGTATTTCAATGAACATTCATACAAAACAAAGAGAATTTTCACATTTGGAGCTGATGGACCCTAATCTTGGGGCACTTAACTGAAAACCACTCTATAAATAAAAAAGGGAGAAAGATATAAATTAGCTCTCGTACCATTTCTCCTCAATTTAGTGAGGTCAGACCTTGTCAACGTTACAGATTTGAGTTCTATGTTGAGCGGTCAGGGTGGCAGTGGGAGTAGAACAGAAGACAGAGAAGTCTACCAAGAAACCACCAACAGCTGACGGCACTGAGGACCAGAGCATGGGAGTCAGACAGTACAGAACAGGAGTGCCATGCAAAAGGCATTCAGAGCTAAGAAATGCTCTGTAGACCCTTCCATCTAAAACTGTCCCTGCGTCTTTGGCTTTACGGCTTTACATTTGTCAACTGTGGAATCAGGATCACGTGCAGAGATGTGATTTTATATGTACATGAACACACACACTCAGTATGTGTGCAGTTCCCTAAAATTCATCAAGGATATTCACATCTTTGATCTAATTTCAGTTTAACACCTTATGATTAGTTAGAATTCTGATTTTACAGACAGAGAAACTCATGTTTAGAGGTCAAGATGATACGAAACCAAGGCTTCTGGCTCAGTCCATCCCAGCACGCCTGCCACGGCCTCCCTGCGTACTGTACTAGCCATTCAGTCCTCCGAGTATACATTTGCAGTAAGTCACCTTTTCTCTAGATAAATTGTGAAAAGGACTTGCCTGCAACCAAAAGAACTACACTAACACACAGGTTGACTGCTATCACACGTGGAAGAATGCATTTAAGTAATTATATCCCAAGGGTGCTAATATTGATGATCATGTTTAGAGACCTGAATCCCCAGAATCTGGACTGTTAACACATTTTCACCAGCAACACAGACAAAAACAGGAAGAATATTCATCTACAGTTGGCAAAAGGGACACTGCATATTCACTAGATGAAAACATTAAGATTCAAGGTGATCTTTAATCAGGTGGAAAAAAAAGGTAACTGATGAAGTCAAGGAAAACTGCCAACGTGTTCTTTCACTCTCATGTGATGGCACTTAAATACCTGATGATCTGCAGGCCTCCCGAGACACTGCCACTACCCAAACAACACTCTCAGTGAGACCTCAGACACCCACACCAAGAGGGAGGCACCAGGGTAAGAAACTCCTCAGGCTTCCTAGGGGCAAAACTGCAAGCCCCCTGCACCCGTTCCTAAGAGTTCCCTTTCCTCCACCTACTGTGGCAGAGGTTCTCAGCACCTTCGTAGGAAAAGTGCTGAGCGGTCAGGTCAACATTCTCCTGCCCCAACCCAGACCTACTGTGTCAGGCTCTGAGGATAGGGCCCAACAACCTGCTCTAACAGGTCCTCCAGGGGAGTCTGAGGGACACACAAGTCCAGGACCCACTGACTTACAAGAAGATATATTCTAAGCAGTGGCGGTTCATTCTCGCTGCACACTGAAACAACCTGGGGACTTTAAATATGCCGCTATCTGGGGTTGCGGCTGGAGCCTGGGCCTCAACCCTTATTCTGAAAGAGCTCCTCAGGTGAGTCCCACATGCAGGAGTCTCCGGTCACTGTACTGAACAGGGTGCACATCTCCTCCCACCCACCCTTCTTCCCGCACTGCTCGTCCTGTCTTCACTGTTCTCTTGTCCACACTGTTCTCTGTAGGGAATTCATCCACTCCCTTGGCTTCAACTACCAAATTTGTACCTCCACCAGAACTCCTCAAGAATACATCCCACTGCCTATTTACATTTCAGCTTTGTTTTGAATAAAATCTCAACTTTACCTAGAATATTGGCATCTACACTATCTTAGGGTTTCAGAAGGAAGCCTACCAAATATTCTGCACAGCATGGGAAGAAAATGATTGTTTAAAAAGTTAAATTGTGAGTCAACAGAAAATATCTCAATATTTGACAAAATGTCAATGATCTGTAAGAACTCAACAAATTGAAAAAAAACTTGAAGAAATCCCCAAATTAATGCTATTACTAATTCAGTACAGAAATAATACCAGTAAGCAAATGTATGATATTCAATTTCAAATGTAAACAAAAACTGACACACTAAGACAGGGGCTTCAGCTTGTCCATATGCTCCGACAAAGAAAATAATGTAACATTACACATTTTAACCACAGGGTGACAGAATATCTCATTCAACTCTAGCCTTCACAAAACATTAGTGCTTGGACATAATCATAAAATGAACCTTAATTTTCCTACTTAAAAAACAAAACAGTTTTCCTATAAATTATAAGGAATTTCCAAATACAAAAAAAGAACAATTAACTGACCCTTAAAGTCGCAAAATACATGTTCTACATAAGGTCAAAGTAAAAGTTCCTGCAAATATATTATAAAATTCATGTTTCAGTAGTTTTAAGGTTCAAAATTTTGTAAAAAGTTTCTTCTTCCACTATTAATAAACTATTGTCTGTGTCTGTAATAATACCCTTCAGTACACACACTTTTCCCGGACAAAAGGTAAAGAAAATACATACTGTGTATACTCTTAGGTGAGAAAGGTAGACAAAGAATTAGCTTCTTAGGCTACTGGAGCAAAGAATTAATGGTTTCATATACCCATTTTTCGTTTTATAGTAACTACTGTACCAGGAAAAAAAAGAAATAAAAATAGACGTTCAAGTTAGCATAAATGAAATCAAAGATCATTCAGTCAAAAGATAAAGACAATTAATCTACCCGTTATAAAATATGCATTTCTAAAGAACAACCAATCCAGATAAGCACCATCAAGACTTCACTTCCATCTGTTTAATTTATTTTAATGTAATTCCTATTTTGGTGCGTGAAATGAACCAAGAATCATGGCAAAGTAAGAATTCTCTAAGAAACTAACGATCAAGCCTAATAGGCTTACGCTTTCAGCCAAGATAAATAAGGACCAAATTTACCTTCCCTGCTTAAACAACTTAACTCAAAAGCTGGACAAAACACACATACATGTATACACACATACATAAATGCTTATATACAGTCCAGTGTAAGTATATTCATACATACATATTTTTTTATCTACATATAAATAAAACAAGAGCTTAAGACAATGAACACTAGACAAGAAAGGACAACAACCCCTAAAAGATGGGAAACAAAAAATTCGAACCCCACGGTTTCCTGAACTTGTTTCCTGCCTGGAGAGCTCCCAAGTTATGGCACTGAGCAAGGGGCTCGAGTGGGGCTGGCAGGGCCCCTGGGTTGAAGAAATAAAGCTGAGGGTTCAGAGTGACCAAGGCTGCTAGGATAAAGTTTTTTTATTTTTGTATCATTAACATACAACTACATGAGCAACACTGTGGTTACTAGACTCCCCCCAATTATCAAGTCCCCACCACACACCCCACTGCAGTCACTGTCCATCAACGTGGTAAGACGCTATAGAATCACTCTTTGTTTTCTCTGTGCTATACTGCCTTCCCCGTGTACCCCCCCCTACATTATGTGTGCTCATCATAATGCCCCTTTATCCCTCCCTTCCCATATCTCCTGCCCCGCCCAGTTCCTTTCCCTTTGGCAACTGTTAGTCCATTCTTGGGTTCAGTGAGTCTGCTGCTGTTTTGTTCCTTCAGATTTTGCTTTGTTCTTATGCTCCACAGATGAGTGAAATCATTTGGTACTTGTCTTTCTCTGCCTGGCTTATTTCACTAAGCATAATACCCTCTAGCTCTATCCATGTTGTTGCAAATGGTAGGATTTGTTTTCTTCTTATGATATGTCCACATCTTTATTCATTCATCTACTGACGGACACTTAGGTTGCTTCCATTTCTTGGCTATTGTAAATAGTGCTGCAATAAACATAGGGGTGCATGTCTTTTTCAAACTGGGCTCCTGTATTCTCAGGGTAAATTCCTAGGAGTGGAATTCCTGGGTCAAATGGTATTTCTATTTTTAGTTTTTTGAGGAACCTCCATACTGCTTTCCACAAGGGTTGAACTAGTTTACATTCCCACCAGCAGTGTAGAAGGGTTCCCCTTTCTCCACATTCTCACCATCATTTGCTATTCCTAGTCTTTTCTATGTTGGCCATCTTAACTGCTGTGAGGTGATAGCTCACTGTGGTTTTAGTTTGCATTTCCCTGATAATTAGTGATGGAGCATCTTTTCATGGGATATAGTATTTTAAAGAGAACCATAGAGAGACAGAATCCTAAAGATCTGCAGGAGGTGCCGAGGTATTTAGTACAGTACCAACCTGCACGCGTGTGAATGGATTCTACACAATGTCAGTAAAGAGCCACTCAAATAAGCATAAGGGA